AAAGAAAATATAAATATTTTTTTAAAAAGAATAAAACTAGAAGGCATTACAGAAAGTAAGCCTGGTAGCCTGGTACATGTAAAGTGAAAATCAATATGGCTGAAGCACAGTAACAGAAGGTGTTACGTGGAAAATGAACCTAGAAGACAGTATACAGGGCAGATCGCATAAGACAAAGAAAGTAATGAACAGATTGGCTCTTTGGGCAATTTGTTCTGGTAGTAATTTGAAAAATAAACTAGAGTCACAAGACTGAAGGCTGGTTTATGAAAGTCATGTGAAAAGTGATGGCAACAGAGGAGATGGAGATGAAAGGTAAGTGAATAAAAAGAATTTAGTTGCATCTAATTGCATATGAAAAATGAGTAGTAAGAAATAATAGAATGGTTCAAAGTGTATTGCCTGGCAAATAGCCATTCTTTTGAACAAAGAATAAAGAACTGGTTTGGGGGCAGGAAGGAGGTAAGTTTGGTTTTTGACAATGATTTGGATTGAATAAAACAAATAAAAGTGGAAATGTTTCCTGCAGTTGAGTAAAGAACTTATTTTAAAAAGCATGGGCCGGTGATAGAGACATGGGAATCATCGGAATAAAAGTGGTAATTGGAAGAAGACTAGGGTAGCCACAGTGTATAAAGAAGGGTCCCTGATGACATTACTTTAAGCATTAAAGAAGAAAAAAAAACGTTTTAGAATGACCAAGAAGCCAATAAAGAAGAGAGTGAACAGTGTCAAATGCTGAAGAGAGGTGAGAAAAGCATCCACTAGCCTTAGTAATATGGAGTTCATTGGTAACTTTAGTAGGAATAACTTGAATGAAATGTTGAAAATCCAGATTACCATCAACTGAGTGATGTGAAAGTGAAATAGAACAGACGGGCTTGGCTATAATGGAAAGATAAAGAGCAAGAAAAAGAGGAAAAAAGGTTAAAAGGAGAGTACCAATATAGGAGAGACCTGAGCATGTTTATATGCTAAAGTGATACACTGACTAGCTCATTCACATACATATTCCTAGTATTGATACCATTTCTGGGATAGATGAAGATGCTTATGATATTTATAATTAAGGAAGCTTAGAGTTCTCAACTTCTGCTGTGTTAGGTGGGCCTAGCAGGCCTCTGCTGAGGGAGGAGAAATGTTTGTGTATTTGACAAGAAGTGAAAGTCTGAAATGCCCTTTAAAAATGGGAGAGGTTTCAGGTTCCTTAAAGGCCCCCTTGCCCAATGGCTTTGAGAGTATTACCCACCTGAGTCAATGTGTGGTGCCACCAATCAATGGTGTGTTGTAAGCAGACACAGCAACCCACGAAAGTGAAGTCATATGGCTACACCTATCCAAGGATAAGGTTCTGCAGAGCCAGACTGAAGGAAAAACAACAGACCATGAGTGAGTGACAGGTCATAATCTAAACTAAGTGGAGGAATGAAGCCTGAGTGAACTAAACGGATTGGAAGAAAAAAAGTGATTAAGGAATTGGAGGTTGCTTGAAGTCAAATGCCTTGTGAAAGGGATCAAAGGACAAAGCATTAAAATCAGTTTTATGAAGAGGATCCTACAATTTAATATTTCAGAAATAAGTTTTTGACAAGAATCTAAGGTGTGGCCTGATTGGTTTACTAAATGGAGTGAAAATGCTATTGGAGATGGAGATATAGAAACTTAAGGTCATCCATGGTGAATGAAATTGCCCAAAATGATGGCAGAGCTGGAGATAAAGGGTTCCACGAACCATTGAAGTCCTTCAACGGATATAGAGGAGGAACAAGAGATGACAGCAATGAGGACAGATGATACAGCTGGGTAGCAGAGGCTTCACAGTGAAAAACAAAACCCAATGGTTTTATAATGGCAGTCAAGAACAGGGGTAAAAGACCCTGTACCCTACCCATGCTCACCTACTTATTCACAGTCAAGTGAATGAGCACTTTCCATGTGAAATAGCCCTAAAGTAAATGTAGCTCAGGAAGACCCAATTTCCAGTTAGGAAGTAGATAAATCTAGTCTCTACTTCTTAGAATAGCAAAGGAAGAGCTTTTTAATGCAAAGAATTGGCGGGGAGGATAGCAATGGTAAATTGAGGAAAGCAGTAACAGTCCTAGAATATGACCAAGTACTGATGACTGGATGGGCTTCTATTTTAGAAGACAGCAATACATACAGTGATGAGAAGCAGGGTGAATTAAACCAGCCTCAATGTTCCAACTGGAACTCTAGAGTGAAGATGCTTCTATGACAAACAGAAGCCTGGGGCACTGACCAAGACTAGGTGTGCTTGAATTGTTGTGCTGGATTCCCAAGAAACGACTAGAGATAAGCTATTTTTCATCTCAACAAAGCTTAGCGCCAATCAGAGAGGGTAGCAGGACAAGGTCAGAAAGACTAAAGTTGTTCAGTGCCCAAGTGCCTACTGGTTTCAGCACAGCAGTACAGTATGCAGAAAGGAGCCAAGTCCTGATTTGGAGTGGGGGAAGGAATGGGAATTACTTACTAGGGTTAGGTACCAATTCAGAATGGGCAAAGACATGGTTAGGTTTCTCAAAATGTCTTTCATTTTCACCTTACCTCCACAGAGATGCAGAACATGCTGGTTTGGGAATATACATGGAAGTGCTTGATGAACTCTGCAAAACTCAGACCTAAGCGGAGGTAAAACTACATGGAAAGTTTGAGGATGGTTTTGTGACTCACTTAAGGTTTTGTGTGTGTGTGTGTGTACTGGAAATTGAAACTAGGGACATTCTACCATAAGTTACATCCCATAGTCCGTTTTTTTTTTTTTTTTTTAACTTTGATACAGGGGCTCACTACCTTATCCAGGTTGTACTCAAACTTGCAATCTTACTGCCTCAACCTTCCAAGTAGCTGGGATTACAGACACCCAGCAACAGATCTTATGAAAACAGGATAGTCAAGTATAGGTTATGGGTCATATGTTCCCTCCTCAGGAATACTGAATAATTTTTTTAAATCATTAAGTGGGGACTTGGACTACATAACCTCTACTATTTTGTTAAATTCTATGAACTATTAAGAAGGAAAATCCTTAAAAATTGTCCTTTAAGGCCCCCAAATCCAGTGTTCTTCACATTATGTAATTCTAGGGTTCTTGTCTGGATTTCTGGAAAGAAAAAAAAAAAAAAACTTTTCTAATATACATTAGATTTTTACTTCATCTTTCTTACTTCATTCCTGACAACTCAAAAAGTTTCCTTTAAGTTCTCCAGCAGGAACCAACTAGCCACTTCAAGGCTTCTTGTGATGGTCTTTTCCCCCTACTGACAAGATTCACAGGCCAGTTCTAAAGATAAGGTCAAGAGAAAAGTCTTGCCTAGTAAATTTCATAGAATACTATGTATAAATATTAATTTTCTTTCTTCCTGCCAGAGTATGAGTAGAAATACATCTTAAAGAGCAAACAGGTGAGAAGAGTCAAGAAATTCCAAAATCGAATGAAGTTTATTCATACAATATGCTACTCAGATGCATTCTTTTGTATTGTTCTCTCCTTTTATCATGTGTGATCTCCCAATGAATGGCCCATAAAGGAAATCTGTATCTTCTATTTATTGATATCAACCACAATGTAAAGGCCCCAAGAAATATTTGATATAAATTGTGAGGATTTTAGTTTTACATAGGAAAGTATTTGTCATTTTATGAAATTTCAGACACCTTTTTTTGTTGGCAAGAAAATTATCTTCTAAGTTAAAAGATAACCAGATTTTTTCTTCCCTTTTCCTACCAACTTTCTTCCCAACCTATACATACAAATCATACACTTCATGAAACCGGGACCAAATCCACTATAAGCAAAACTTTACTATTTTCAGCAATTATCTGTCCTTCATGTTTGCAAAACCCGGTGACCTTGGCAATCGGGATAAAGTGCCATTTACTTTTCTGAAGTAACTTGGGGTTTGAACTAGTTCTGAGCATTAGGAGGCCAAAAGAAAAAGAATATTTCTTCTTGTCCCTACCATTGGTTGGCAGCAAAAGTATACAGTTCTCAAAATCTAAAGGTGAGGACATGTCTAAGTTGGTCATCACTGGTTGGTTTCTTGCTTAAAAATAAAGGATAAGGGGCTAGGGTTGTGGTTCAGAGGTAGAGCGCTCACCTAGCATGTGCGAGGCACTGGGTTCAATCCTCAGCACCACATAAAAATAAAACAAAGATACTGTATCCACCTATAACTAAAAAATAAATATTTTTTAAAAACAGAGGACAAGTGAAATCTTCAGGAATTAATCTCACACTTTCCCCCAAATGCCACTGTCAGCATAATAGGCTAATCACTTCACTCATAAAATTATTTGAGCTCAGTTCTTTTATTTTATAGTTAGAGAGCAAATAAAATACTAGGAACTGCTTTGGCAAAGATTAAAAGTGGCTCCCATATACTTGCTAAATTTCCTCAGAATTGTCAAAACTCATCACTAATATTTACCTTTACTTTGTTACTATTTAAAGTTCTACCAATGTAAATGACAGGAGTTGGGTTGGGAGTGGAGACTGGGAACTGAGTGCACACACTTTTTATTATTTTTTAGATGTAATGCAATTAACCATATCTAATATGCTTTCAGAAAGCAAAAAAAAAAATGTAAAACATGCTTAAAATCAGGGAATGAATTTATACTTTCCATAAGGCACCATCAATAACCCTGGTAAATTGTAAATAAATACGTAAGGGAATAATAATAGGGGGCATTGAGGTTTACAAAAGAGTAAGAGCAAGCAGGATACATCTTTCAAAACCTATCATATCATTTTCCAGTGCATATCCTCTGTTGCATAGTAGTGACTAGATATGATCCAGGCCAAGAGAAGACTGCAATTCCAAAAATATACTAACATCCATTCCTTCCCTCTCAGGCTGTAAATACCACTTGGCACATTCAGAGGCAAAGAAGTAACTATGCTTTAATTAAGCGGAGGGGGGATTTCAAAAGGAATTATACTTAAGGACCTACCGCAAAAGCAACTTTCTCCACACATATGAAGCTAATTCACATGTGAAACTTTATTGAACCTAATTATGTGTGGAACTTCAACAGCTCCATTTTTCCACAATTTACAATTTTCAAGTCCCACTCCAAACTGTCACTTTCTCCTTTTAAAAAATGAATAATCCCACCCTTTTAAAGAGGGGTTTTTAATTTTTCTTTTTATCCTCCTACTTTAAGTACTGGCTGATAATGTATACAAATGTACTACAGAATTAAAATAGTGGAAAGTAGGGAGTTTGTTCACATGCACTGAACTACATCCAGAATCCAACAATTAAGAAAAACAAATTGACATTTCCTGGACACATGGTAAAGACAAAAGTATAGAAGAACAGAAGTGAAACACAGGTAAAATCATGCAGATCTTAAAGTTCTGTCAGCATTTGCCATGTTTCTGATTACTAGATTGTGGGCAATCATAGATTTAATGTTTGCCTTTTCAAAGTACGACATGCAGTATAATTTATAATTGTACTGAGGCACAAGTTTGAACCATGCAGGCAAAGATGGTTTGCAACAGCTTAGTAAGCCCAGCATCTATATCAACATGGCTTTTTGCAGTAACTATAGAAAGTAAAATAAACATTTGTAAGGAAAAAAATGTCCCTCTTCTTTCCCCAACTAGAAAGCTAACTACTAATGCTATTTGGGAATTTGCACAGTTCTAATGACTTTACCCTTTTAAGAATTATCAAAGACCTACCATTTTCCCCCCATGTTTCTTTTCTACTACCTTTGTCAAAATATTTGAAATGAAGGCAATGATAAAAACTTTAGAAAGAATTAAACACAAGTTAAAATATGATGAAGAATGGCAAATTTGGGAGCCAGGAAGGGTTCAGAAACATTTTAAATCAAGTTTTAATACAAAATGTTAACACAGAAGTATGAAGTAAGTTGTAAATTAGTAATTTTCTTTAAGTGGCAATAAAGCTTTATATTAGAATACCAACATTTCTTTAAATAGATGAATCCTACTTAGTGAATTCCAAAACTTCAGATTTGTACATTTGGGTGAGGGAAGAGGGCACTAATTTCTCTCTTCTGTTCTCCTCAGTTTAAATCTGTGGTCAAGGCAGACCAAATCTTTCAAATAAATTCAGAAAATCCCACAGTTATCAATTAAATAATATATTTAAGCTTCAAAATGTCAGAAGGACAGGCAACTATTCATGGGTAGAAGACTGCCTTGTATTTTCCCCAGGTCTCCAACAAGCAAATACAATTATCAAACACACAAATTATTCCCAAACAGCCAACTTTATCCACTATACACTTCAAGAAACCAAGCACCCGAACGGCCACTCTTCTCAGCATTCTTATGATTCTCCATTGTTGATGACATAATTAACAGATGATTGGGAAGGAGAAATCAAATCTTAAAACGTATTCTAGGCATCCATTGCTTACATCTTGAATTTTTGAAAAATTGAATTACATTCAATTTTTAACCACAAGTACTGGAAGACTTTTACAAAGACCAAAAGGCAAAAAATATTGTGCTTTCTTCTATAATATAACCAGATGAACTTCTTAACCAATGGTCTTTAGTTTGGCAAAATGAAAACATAAAATTGGTTAATTAGTTACCTTGCAATGTCCACTGAAATCTTAAATCATACATACACTTGAAATCTTAAGACACACACACAGCAACATTTACAAATCTAACAGGTTGAAACACTCAAAATGTTGTCAAGTACTACGGAAAGAGTGACCAAAAAGTAGGTAGTATGAACCATACAGAAAGCATTTATAGAAACTGGATTTTATAAGAAAGCTTTTGCTGTTTTTAAGTAAGATGACTTTTGAGTTAAATCTCATACCCACTCAAACTGTAACTGGACAGTACATTTCACTTCTAGTTACTAGAAGACATTTCTTTAAAAGAGACTGGGGCAAAAAAGGGAAAAGGAGACTATAAGCTGTTTCTAGGCCCACCCCACCCGCTTTTAAAAGGACAACTGATGAATTTAAGTCAAACCACAGATTTGTAAATCAAAATGAAGGACACAAGATAGTGAAGATAAAACGCTATTTTTTGTTATTTTGTCCTTTTAAAAATTTTAGTCCCCTTCTAGTAAGAGCTTACACACTGCTCACCTAACCCTTTAACAAGAACAGAGAATGCAACAGCAGGGAAGAGGACACAGCACCATAGTTTCAAACATTTACAAACAAAAGAAAAAACAGCCAGCACAGACTAGAGTAAGACCAAGTTTCCCAAAAGACAGGAATAAATCCCAACACAAAAAGAAAATACATCTCATTGGAACAAAAGCAAAATGGAAGATCTGGTCAAGCTAGGATAGAGAAGGGAGTGATAACTCCTTGTACTACAAGGAAGGAACTGGGATTTATCAAAAAGCAACAAAGAAAAAGCAAGTTCCCAAATGGATTTTTGATGCTGAAACTGTCATATGCTGCTGGTAACAGTAAATATATATATTTATATATTCATATATGTATATTAAAAAAGGAAAAATAATCTATTTATAGAACAGTAAGTAGTCAGAGACATTTAGAAAAAAGTAAAAACAAGTCCTTTTTTTCTTTTTAAAAATGGATTTACTAAAACAACTTCATCACCCAGAAGTACTACAACCCCACATCCTCTGATGAAGCCATGGTGTTATTCAACAGCATCCTGCTGTAGGCCATGTTCAGAGTTGCCATGTTCAGAGTTGCCATGTTGGAGACAGCAGACAACATTGGGGTCAGAGCTGCAAGGCAAAAAGCTGTTATTTGCTGGTCTTGCTCATGGCCATGCCTGAAGCCTGGTGGTGTCTGGAATACTTGTAAATGAAGGTTTTCCCGAAAAGCATGCATCACTGTGGCTCAGTTAAGACATTCTGACTGGTCGTCCTCGTTGTCGTCATCATTTTCATCATCATCATCATCTTTTTTTTTTTTTGGTGGTGGTGGTGGGGGGGTGCAGAAGCCTGGATCCATGTACCTGCTCTTCTCTAAAATGTAGATCCAGAATCCAATCTAACTAGATGACATCCTCCTCCTTAGGAAGGTAAGGTGATCTGCCTCAGATGGTGCAAGGTTCTCTTATTTGGGTTTTCTTCTTGGTATAAACAAGCACAAGTGGCTGAGGCCTACAGACTGGGCTATAATCCCAAGACTTCTAACAGGAGTAATTCTAGCCTGTACCTCCTCGTTATAATGGTAGAGCTTTAAATACCAGGTGATAGAAGGAAAATGGTTCTCTAACTTCAATTACCCCAACTAAGAAGATTCAAGCAATCAACACCTTCTCATGGTGCTTGCCCCTAGGTTGTAAGCCTCTAACTAATATCAACTGGCTATAAACCACATCCTACATGCCTTACTAGCGCACCAATATATTAATGCCAACCAGCCGCCTAAGAGCTCCATCAAGTGTCCGACTTTAGTGCAGTAAACCATACTCAAAGGAGACATGAGTTGAAATACTGGCTACTGTGCCAAGAAGACATTCTTTGCACAAATGTGTAGACGGGGAATGTAGCCCACACAATCCATGCAAAGAGGAAGCCAGAACTCAGAGGACTGTCTCTGAAGGCCATCTTTGGAAGCAACATTACGAGTGGATCTAAACCACTTTACTTGATGACTAAGGTCTCAATGTGGTCCATTTCCCCCCATGTCCCAAACTAACCAAGCATTTGCTAACTGGTCTCTTTAAGATCCTCCACTGGTAGTTTGTAGCTCATTATGTAGGAAGGAGGTGGTAATTGACCTGGGCTATCTGGCCCCTGCTTCTTTGCACAGTTTATACAGATGTAATCTTCATTTTCAGCCATCTCTGGAGATACACCCACACAAACTTGATGAAACCACTCATCACAGCCACCATCACATTGTACCCAGTCTACCTGTAGAAGACAAGATTGGGGAATGTTTAGGTTACACAACATTAAGCCCAGAATAAAAGCAAACCAAAGAGCTTTCTTGGCTTAAATGATAGCAAACAACTGGAATGTCCAGAGATAGACAATGACTTCTTATGGGGTTATTTTTCAAAGAAAGAAGCTGAGAAGTTAATACCCCCAAATTACATTTTACCACAGTATGTTCACAAAATTAGGCCTCTTAGGTACTTCATTACCTCATGAATACCTGGGGCTCCTTGTGAGGCAGAAACATGTTTGGGAAAAACTTGACAAAAAAGAAACTTCTACTAGAGCAGCCAAGTAGTTTAGCTAATATTAACAATGTCTAGGCTCTAAGACAATGCAATTAACAATCAAGAAAGGAAGAGTACAACAATGTGAAGGCAATCCTGTGTATTAGCTTTATTTCAAAGAGATAAGCCAAAGTACTAAGAGCATTAAATACCTTTTTAGAAAAGCAGTCACATAGGCCACTTTTAAAACTAATATTTTTTATTCTTCTCTTCTTCCGTTACAAATACAACTCCCTATAAAAAGTTAGCAAATATCAGAGGTCAAATCTTACAAATTAACCAATTATAACAGTCAAAGACACAGGTAAATAGGATCACTCTGGTGTTTAAAATTAAGTCTGGAAAACTGATAAGTATCAGTGGCAAATGCCAAGCAAACTACAACTCTACAGGGAAAATTCTGTGATTACGGGAGGCTGGAGAAACACTGTAGTTTGGCAACATTTTAAGCCTTAGACCTACAGTTAACAATAAAGTGACTTTTATATTTGGAGGGTGATTGTGGTAGTTTTTATGTTAAGGCAGATGAGAACCTTTAAGATCAAAAGAGCTTATTCTCCCATACAAACATTGATCATTTCATTGACAATACAGGAAGCCACTTAAACCATGAGCTTTATCATTTATCAGAGCAAAGTAAGGAATACAAAGGGATCAAAGAAAGCACTTCAGCATAGCTTATGAGAAAGAACAATGGAAGTTTTGGCTAGATAAATGAGTTTCATTCTGGGAAAGTGAGTAATTTTCAAAATTAGTTTCCATGTCCTATAAAAATTACCAAAACCATGATAGTTGTGTCTGTAATTTTAGACTTATAACAAAGGATAGGGAAGATAATTTGTACAATAATTTTTTTGGTCTTTATTATTCCTATTTTAGAGTTCTAGATCTTAAGAGACAATATTAAAAGTATAAAGATTACTGCACTCAGAAGTTCTGAACTCTGGTATATATAATTTTAGTCTAGCTATTTAACCTCACTCAATTTCCCTGCCTATAAAACTGCCTGTAGCATTGCGTCACCTCTTCCATCAGAATCACTCGATTGTTCATTAAAAATGTAGCTGGGAGGCTGGAGTTGTAGGTCAGTGGTGGAGCATTTTCCTTGCATGTGTGAGGAACTGGGGTTTATCCTCAGCATCACATAAGCAAATAATATAAAATAAAGATATTGTGTCCATCTACAACTTAAAAAAAAAAAGTAGCTGGGACCCATCCCAGACTCAAAGTATATGGGCATTATGAATCAGAAGCCTACATTTTTAATAAGTTCCCCACCTGATTCTTTGCTTGCTTGTCTGTTTTTGTGACACAGTCTTGCTATATTGTCCAGGCTAGTCTTAAAACTTCTGATATGCCTGCCTCAGCCTCCTAAGTAGCTGGAACTGCAAGTACATAACACTGCACCTGGCTTCCAAGTGGTTCTTATATATTCTAAATTTGACTATCACTATTGCCTCTTTGTAATACCTTCTTCCTGTAAATTGAAACATCAATTACTTCCTAAATCCATTTTTACTGTATAACTGTATAATGTTTCACTTCTGAAGTCTGTTCAATAAATAAATTAATCATAATATTCTTTTTGGAGCACACTAATCAAAGACAAACTAGGGAAATAATGGCTCAAATACAGCAAAGTAGAAATAAAGGTACTGCAAGCAGGTAAAGGCTTACAAAGTGCTAACTGTATAAAAGGTGAACTCAGGATAAGTGTTTTGTTTGGAACTGGTAAAGGGGATTGAAAAAATGAGTTGTTTTTCTTTAGATGCTTAGATCTGAGATACTACATTGTTTCATAATGCTACCCCTAAACCAATAGATAATTCAATTCAATTATAATTCATGCTAATCCAAAAAAAAGTTACTGATTTATCTATCAGTATTCATTATCAAGAAAAATGTCTCGTGTCCTTTTTTCTGGTACCAGGTGTTGAACCCAGAAGCATTTTACCACTGAGTTGCATCCATAGCCCTTTTCATTTTTTATTTTGGGAAAGGGTCTCATTAAGTTGCTTAGGGCCTCATTAAGTTGCAGAGGCTGGCTTTGAACTTGTGATCCTTTTGCCTCATCCTCCCAAGTAGCTGTGATTATAGGCATGCGCCAGTGTGCCCAGCTTTCTCATGTCTTTTTAAATCGACTTTTGCACTATAGTCATTGGTTTCAAATTTCACAAAATTAAATTGACCATTCTTTTTCAAGAATGAAGATGTTATTTTCCCTTTTGTGATATGGAATGCAAGTTCCCTCCTAAGCCTAGCTCTCCCATGATTTCAAAAGAAAATATATGTACACAATTTTCCACCTGTATACAAAAACCTATTTATAATGTAATATAAGGTCTGTTATCTGTCAATTGAACACATCCCAGACATTTTTTACGTTGTTGCTATTTTAAGAGATGGGGTCTTGCTATATGCCCAGGCTGGACTAAAGTGATCCTCCTATGTCAGCCTCCCAAACAGTTGGGACTATAGGCATGACCACCACATCAGGCTTTCTGTTAAGTTTTTTTATAATTATTTTGTGACTCACTAAGCACCTTTTCTAGTGAAGGAAAAAATGACTATTAGAATTCACATGCAGTTACCCAAATTATAATTATTATTTTGGTTTTTATGGTGCTGGGGATTGAACTCAGGGCCTTATGCATGCTAGGCAAGCACTCTTAACAACTGAGCTATATCCCCAAACCCCAGTTAGCCAAATTGTGTGTTTTTGAGTTTTCAAGTTACTAAATAATCTGTTGCCCCTGTGTCAAAATTTTCTGTGGATTCAGTTGACATTCCAAACTTTAGTGTGCTTTATGATTCTATGGGCTTTTTCAAACAAAAGTGAAACTCAAGTTTGATTAATAGATGGTTATGATAAAAATATTGATAAGAGAAGGACTATTTTTTGTTTCTTTTCTTGCTTTATCATCAAGAAAAATTATTATACAACCTATTGTCTGGGGTAGATTCCCAGTGTGCCCAGGAATGATAAATTTGCCAGTAGGTGGAATAACAGTGTTTAAACTGGTAAAGTCCCTGGTGAATTAGAATACTTAATAACCCTATCTCAAATGTGTGCGTGTGTGTGTATGTGTGTGTGTGTGTATGTATGTGTGTGTGTATGTATGTGTGTGTTACACATTTACTTAATCCAGACTTTGATAATCTATGCTATCAGAGTTATGAACAGGTAAAGTCACTAAAAATACAAATACTTTGGTTAAGGATTCTTTAAAATCTGAGTGGCTAACAAATAGTAAATGTGAGGGGCACAAATTAATAAATTTAAATCTTTTAACTTACCATAACAAACTTGTTATGGAAGGAAGTAGTAATGGGTAAAGAAAAACACCACAGTAAGAGAATAAAAAAGTAGAAGAGGAGGGAAAGTCTATTCTTATATATAAAATGATTAAGTATTTACTCTAACACTAAAAAAAAAGTGCTACTTAAGGATCAGCCCCAAAGAAGTTGTTCTCTCAATGTTAATTTGTTTTATTCTTTGTACCAATATTTTTGTAGTAGCAGATTTTGGGAAGAAAATACTTGCTTTTTAAACTAATTTTTTTGAAAACAGTTATTGTTTTAAAGTTAATTTCATCTTGAATTTGGTAATTGATGGAAGAGATAGTTTTAAAAACCATTTTATGATATTCTGGTATTACCTTTTTTTATTCTTTCTAAAACATCTTAAAAATGAGGCTTGGGCTGGGGATGTGGCTCAAGTGGTAATGCGCTCACCCGGCATGCGTGGGGCGCTGGTTTGATCCTCAGCACCACATAAAAATAAGATAAAGTTGTTGTGTCCACCGAAAACTGAAAAATAAATATTGAAAAATTCTCTCTCTCTCTCTTTAAAAAAAATAAGGCTAGGTACATTTGAGTAACCATTCTTCTAATTTTTAAAAGAATATTTCGCAATCTGCAAAATTTTAGGACAAAGTAATAGTAATTACAGGTTAGAAAAATGTCCTAAAAATGAACCCTAGAAGTTATTTCTTGCTGCATGATATTTAAAGAACAGACTTCCCTAAAAAGCATTCTTTTCTTGTCATCATTTTGTTCTAAAGATGTGTGCTGTGCATTAATTACATTTTCATAGAAAAATGTTACAAACTCTGAGAAGTTTTAAAATTCTTTTTAAAAATTTTAAAAGAAATGTACTAAATATTTAGTGAAGCTAATGTCAAGAATAAACAGAGAACCACAAAAGTTTCAAACTAGCAATGACATGTGAAACATTTATAATCTGAAATAATCTGTTTAAAATTCAACAGAGAGGGGCTAGGGTTAGAGTGCTTACTTAGCATGTGTGAGGCACTGGGTTCAATCCTCAGCACCACATATAAATAAATAAATAAATTAATTAAATAAAGGTACTGTGTCCACCTACAACTTAAAAAAAAAAAAATTCAACAATCGGGGAGGTGGCACACACCTGTAGCCTCAGCAGCTCAGGAGTCTGAGGCAGAAGGATTAAGAGTTCAAAGCAAGCCTCAGCAAAAGCAAGGTACTATGCAACTCAGTGAGACCCTGTCTCTAAATAAATACAAAAAATAGGGCTGGGGATGTGGCTCAGTGACTGAGTGCCCCTGAGTCCAATCTCTGGTACCCCCCACCAAAAAAAAATTCAACAGAGAAAAATAACACTAAGTATAATTTATATAAGCTAGTGACACGGCAAGGGTTAGAGTTAAAATAGACATTTTCTCTGAACACTCCACTAAATCTTTGCTCCATCAAAATGTTCCTATAAAAATATCTATAATGTCAAGAATAAATTTCAGGATCTATGGAAAAGTAATGATCACCTCTTAACACACTGCATTTTTTGTTAACAAGTGCATTCACAGAGATAATTTCATGTTTTGCCAGGCATGTGTTAATTTATATTTAATTTTAGAGCAAATGACAACAAAAACTGCCTGTAGTGTTTATGTTATAGGAAAATGATAGGGATAATAGATGAAAAGAATCATATTTAAGTGTGAGCAGAGAAGAAAGATTAACTGACAAGGACAAAAAAGAGAAGACAAAGGGTTCATGATGTATATAAAAATTATAGGAAGAATGATTTAAAAAGCTTATAAGAGAAATACCCTATCTCACCACTAGTCTTGAAACTGCCATAAAATTAAATAAAAGAAAAAGGTTCTGCCAACACTGAGCTGTTAATACTTTAGTACCCAAAGAGAAACAGTTGACCCTCCCATCAGTCTTTTAAGTAACAACTCTGGAAGAAAATAGATTCAAAATGAAAGATTAAAATAATTCATACATATATTAACAATCTAATTAATTATTAAAATGTTTATAATATAGAAAAATGTTTATGAAATGAATAAAGCAAGAAAGTGAAGAGACAATATGACAATGATATAAAATAAACTATAGAAAATTGAGGAAGCAAATACATTTAAGTATTTATAGCTGCTATCCTTGAAAAATTAGATTATGGGATAAATATTTTACTCTTAATTCATTTTCCAAAAGTGAATGGAAAGCCCCTAAAATAAAACTAAGTATTAAGTGTCATTTTAGGAATGTGTTGCTGTACTTACATTTTAGGACTTATCCACAGAGCTGGGATACTAGTGGAAAACCTAGTTTGGGACCAGAGAGGCAGGGTTCTTGCTCTATGACTTTGGTCACAGGATTTATCTTTTCTGAGTTCCCAATTCCATCATTTGTAAAATGAGGAGCCTGAACAAAGTGACCACTTGGTCCCTTCAGTCTTTAAAAATGTGTAAGTACCTGACTGAAAAGATAAGTTGGGATACAACCTGTAGGGAATAGTGATGCAGTTTTATTTATTCTGCTCAGACTTTAAAATTGAAGGGCTATTAAAATTCTAAATACCAAGAGTATATTGAGCATAATAAATAAAACTATGAATTTGTTAATATTCTTGATGAGAATAATAGATGCCTCTAATCACTTAAAGAACTGAGGTTTTTCATAAATTCTGTCCATTTTTCTCATAAGTTCACATCAATATTAACTTAAGAATGCCAATACTGAATTACTATATTAAAATTTAAAACTGAAAAAATTTTAAATAATACCTATAAAGGTCTGAATTATTTGTTACAAAGGATTTTTTAAAAAAATCATATTCTGGGGCTGGGGCTGTAGCTCAATGGTAAAGCACTTGCCTCACATGTGTAATGCACTGGGTTCAATCCTCAGCACCACATAAAAATAAATAAAAATATTGTGTGTCCATCCACAACTTAAAAAATATTTTTTAAAAAATCATATTCTATTCAGTCACAAATACACATGAGCCTGAGTGTGGATAAGAAATGAAAAGTTTTAGGTCTTTTGGAAAAAAATATTACTGCAATTTGCTAAAGCTCTTAATATAAAAAACTGGCCCGTGATTTTTTCAGGCTGCCGTAGCTAACCGAAAAGTTCTAAGTTGCCCTACAGGAAAGATATAAGACTTATTTTAAAATTTGTTCTGCCTACTATGTGTGAAATGCTCTGTTTGCCAGGAAATGTCATATACCTTCTCTATGTTCCTATCTATTATGTTCACTAAGTATGTAATTTTTTTAAAAAAAGAAAACATTTCTTCTATTAAACACAATGATCTAGGAGGCTCACCATTCAAAACATTTTATAGAAATTAAAAAAACACATATGTTGGAAATCCAAATCCTGGATCATAATTATATTATTAACACATCAAATATAAGTCTCTATAACTTGTTTTTGACCTGTCTCACACCTATAAAAAGTTGGAACTCACCTTGTCCTTACAGGGCCTTTGGCAGTTTTGTGCAGCACATATAGCATTCTCATCATCAGATTCCTCTGCTCCTGACCAGTCATACTTTGAGGGGATGTCCAGCACTTTTTTCTCTCTTTTCTTTTCAGTACTCTCTTTAACAAGTTCAACTTTGGCTGCAGCAGCCTTTTCTTTCTTTTTCTTTCTCTCTTCTTCTTTTGCCAGTTTCTTGGCCAGTTTGTTCAGTTCCTTTGATTTGTCTGCATTTAACTTTAATTTCTTCTTTTTAGGTTTGTCCATTTTCTTCAGCTCCTTGGATTTCTGTTTTCCTTCTCCGAAAAGTTGTTCTGCCTTTTCTAGCTTCCGCTTACGTTTCTTCTCTGAAGAGTCCTTGCCTTTCATTTTTAATGGTTTCTCTTCCATGCTATCATCCTTCAAAGATATAAAATCAGAAACAATTTTAAAGCAAGACATTTAAAATCAGTGTCATTCTCTTACATGAGGTACTTAGAACAGGCAAAGTCAGAGACACAAAGTAGAAAAATAGAATTGATGTTACTGGGGGTGAGGGAAGAAGAAATGGAAATTTATTGTTTAATGTGTATAGAGTTTGTTTGCAAAAAGTTCTTTATTAACTCAATAAATTCTTGGTGGTTAAGTAGTTATCAAAAATACCAGGAAAATAGATAAGTCTGTCTCCATGATCTCATTACAAAGGGTATTTAGTGACTTCGGCAAGGATTAGAAACTAGTTTATGTGACAATGCAAAAAACTGTCACTTTATGCTGGGTATAGTGGCACATGCCTATAATCCCCGTGACTCAGGAGGATGAGGCAGGAAAACTGCAAGTTTGAAACCAGTCTCAGGGGCTGGGGATGTGGCTCAAGCGGTAGCGTGCTCGCCTGGCATGCGTGCGGCCCGGGTTCGATACTCAGCACCACATAACAAACAAAGATGTTGTGTCTGCCGAAAACTAAAAAATAAATAATAAAAAATTCTCTCTCTCTCTCTCTCTCTCTCTAAAAAAAAAAAGAAAGAAAGAAAGAAAGAAACCAGTCTCAGCACCTTACCCAGACCCTATACAACTTAGTGAGATCCTGTCTCAAAATAAAAAATAAAAGGGCCGGGGATGTAGCTCAGCAGTTCAGCACCCTGGGTTCAATCAAGAGTACCAAAACAAAAACAAAAACAAAATTTCAGTTTTCAAATTTCTAACACTGTTGCCATTATTCACCAATGTAATAAACATTAAAAATTTTAACAGAAAAAATATGTCTGATAACAGAAAGAAATGCAGGGGTTAGAAAAAGAAATACCTAAAAATGTAAACTTGATTATTCCTAAGGTAAACATTGAGAATTCATTTTTCTGCAGATTTGAGACTTGAGAATCTTTGACAGGAACCTAAGAATTGTAGAATTTGCTGTATTATAAATGCCTCAAGTTTATCACACCTTGAACAACATACGTAACCTCATAATACTTTGAGTTTCCTTGTATGTAATAAAGAAGACCATATGAGATAATGGATGTGAAGAAAATGATCTGTAGACTAGAAAACACTATTTAAATTAGGCTACCTTAGATTTTTTTCCTCCAAGCCAAAACCAAATTATAGTACCCTAAATGCATTTGTATCAACAACTGGTGTCACTGTACCACTGACTCCAGTACATGGAAACCAGGAGGCTAATGAAAAGAATATTAGGAGTTAGGAATTAAGTATGTTAATTTTTATTAGATGTGTGATCTTAACTTTCCATCTCTCTGATTGTAATATTTCTCCATATGAAGAATGGGGTTAATACTTGCCCTATTCTTCCCCTGCCTCTGAGGAGGCAAATCAAATGAGATCATGCATGTAAAAACACTATATGAATTACAAACTGCTATGAAAGTATAATATACAAATATGAACTCTCTCTCCTATCCAATCCAGTTCTATTTAACAATTCCCTTGATTCTTTTTTTTTTTTTTTAACCACTACATTTTCTTGCCTAATATTGGGCATTCCAAAAGTGGAAGGCTGGGCTAAGGAGACTGTTTTAAACTAGTTGTTTTCAATTGCCCTAAGGGGAAAAAAAAGAATTTTTACAAAAATAGCCTTTTATAGAAAATTTTAAAAACCAATAGTAATAAAACAAACACCACAATCACAAAAATTAATATTACATAAAATAGCAATAAAGAAAATCATAAAGCAGAATTATTCTGGCTTAAGTGGGAGAGCATGACAGCCAGATTACTCCCCCTCAGTCATCCCCCAGTTTACTATCTAAGGAATCGGGGCATTTTAATGGTTTTAAAACCATTATTTAAGTTAGCAGTAAATCCGTACCTCCATGATATGTAGGAATCTGTCTTCTGAGGGTGGGTGGGTGGCCTGCAAAATCCTCCATATGTGTTGTGTTTCATCTAGAGATACTTCTAGGAGGTCTCCAACCATCATGAGCTCTTCCAGCTGGGCTTTAGCTCCAGGTGACAACTCCAACACCGGAGGTTCCAAACTTCGAGGAACCAAAGGGCTCTTCCGAGGTTGTTTTCTTGGAGTGCTAGAACCTTTTATAAAAAAGTACCGCAAGACAGAAAACTGAGAACCATGGACAAATGTAATTTTTTCAAAGTAAATGTTGAACAAAATGGGTCTCCCCCTCCTACACTGACTTCAGATATCTGGATTCATTATATCAGTATATAAGTAAAATAAAGTTTGTTTTGTTTTTTATTTTTAAATAACTATTTATTTACTTACATGTGGGGCTGAAGATTGAACCCAGTGCCTCACAGATGCTTAGACAAGTGCTCTATCACTGAGCCACAAACCCAGTCCTTTTTTTTTTTTTTTGGTACCAGGGCTTGAACTCAATTTAACCACTGAACTACATCCCCAGCCCCTCTGTATTTTATTTAGAGACAGGGTCTCACTGAGTTGCTTAGGGCCTCACTAAATAGCTGAGGCTGGCTTTGAATTTAAGATCCTTCTATCTCAGCCTCCAAAGTCACTGGGATTACAGGCGTGCACAACTGCACCGGGCGTTTTCTTATTTTTTGAGATGAGGTTTTAGAATGTTTCTGAGAATGGCCTCAAACTCTTAAGCTCAAGTGATCTTTCTGCCTCAGCCTCCCTAGTAGTTGGGATTACAAGCACACACCACTACATCTTAGAAAGTGAAAATGAAATTTAAAACAAATACAAAAAGATCTACAATGCCAAAGGCCACTTTAAAATTGTTTCTTTATCCTGACTACTGCATAATCTCTTACCCAGTCTCCATTTTAGACTATACCAAAAGATTCAGCAGTCAGCTGCCCTACGTAAATAAATGGTTGGCTAGTCACAGTGGCAGATGCTTGTAATCTCAGATACTCAGGAGGTTAATCTCAGATACTCAGGAGGTGGAGGCAGGAGAATTTCAAGTCTGAGGCCAGTTTTGGCAATTTAGTGAGACCCCATCTCAAAAAATTTTTAAAAAGGGGTGTGTGGGGAGCCAGGGGTAGGGAGGGAGCTCAATGCTAGAGTGTTTGCCTAGCATGCATGACGCCCTGTATTCAATCACCAGTACTGCATATACACAAAAAAATTAAAAATAAAAAATAATTTTAAAAAATGGTTATCTTCCAAATGAATAGACTGTAATATGTTTTTCCATAAAATCTTAAAAATTTATGAGAGAGAGAGACATTTTCCATATTACAGTGTTGTAACACAAAGCAGGATGAATTTATTTTTACTAGGCAAAAGAAAAGCAAACATCATGGAGAAATCATCCACCAAGGAAAGGAAGAACTTTTCTAACAATTAAAGCTACCCAACCCAAAATGAATATTCTTAGAGAGCAGTGAATCTTTCAACAATTGGTAATGATCAAATGGAGGCTAAAATGCCTAACAGCAATTTTATAAAAATGAGATATGTGATCATATGGAATTTAAAGTTCTCATTAGAACTCTATAATTCTATGTTCATTTTTAGATTACCTAATGATAGAAAATGCAAATAGAGAATAGATTTCCCAAAATAGTATTTTCAGGTTCTATTAGCATTTCATGGTAGGCATCATACTCAATTCAAGAGGGATTCACAGTCTTGAATAATACAACCCTTCTTCTCATTTTAGATTTATTTTCTCTGGATTTTTTTTTTTTTTAAAAAGGTAATACCTTGAGAACAACTCTTAGAAGCAGAAGAATAAGCATGTTCTGCACAGAATGAAGGTGCAGTCCACATGTGAGTTACTACTTCCTCAGACTTGATGGGAATTTCTTCATCACAAAAAAGATTGGGTTCTAGACTACTAGAGGACTTCACACTGGCTGTGTCCTGAAGAAGAAACAATAAGAGGTGTTCAGAATTAGTTAACCACATAGCTTATCCTAATGTAAGAATCTAAAAATGGCTTTTAGGAAGCTTCTAACATAACATACTAAAAATATGACATTAAAATTAATTATATGACATTAAATAAAATATAAAATGTTCATGGAGGATTAAAAAAAAGTAAAAATTACAATTCAAACCAAAAGGGAAAGTAAAGCTAAAAAATAATAATCCACAGAGATAATACACCTACAAAAAATATACAATTAAGTAGTCTACCTTCTATAATGTCTACAACCCACAAAAACTTCTACAACAAGTTAAGGAATACTGATCCTTTAAAAAGAAAATAAAATGGACTTAAGAGAAGAAAGTTTAGAGGTGACATTATTTTTTAAGTTGCAGATGGACACAATACCTTTGTTTTATGTTTTTCTCTTCTTTTTTGGGGTGTGTGTGTGTGTGTGGCAAGGGATAACCAGGGATTGAACTAAGGGGCACTCAACTACGGAGCCACAGCCTTATTTTGTATTTTTTTTGAAGAGACAGGATCTAAGTTGCTTAGCACCTCGCTTTTACTGGAGTTGGCTTTGAACTCACAATCCTCCTGCATCAGCCTCCTGAGCCACTGGGATTACAGGCATGCGCCACTGCACCTGGCTTATTTATTTGCTTTTATATGGTGTTGAGGATCGAACCCAGTGCCTCACACATGCTAGGCAAGTGCTCTACCCCTGAGCTACAACCCCAGCCCTAAAAGTGACATCTTAAGACACCATTTAATCCTAAATTTCCAAACCCTATTATCTTCCCATTTGTTTTTTTTTTTTTTTTTTAAGAGAGAGAGAGAGAGAATTTTTTAATATTTATTTTTTAGTTTTCGGCAGACACACCTTTGTTTGTATATGGTGCTGAGGATCGAACCCGGACCGCACGCATGCCAGGCAAGCGCGCTACGGCTTGAGCCACATCCCCAGCCCCCCATTTGTTCTTAATATAATAAAGAGACTGACAATATACAAACTATACAACTCTGACAGCTCTAATTAGGTCTCAGTTGATTTTTCACAGAATTTGTTTTCACAAGCTCACCTATATAGCTTAAAGGTCAGAGAGTAGTCAGGAAGACAGAAATCACACCAGGTATTTAGACAGAGGTTTTTGTTTGTTTATTCAATATACTGGAAATTGAACCCAGGACTGCCCTACCACTGAACCACATCCCTAGCCCTTTTTATTTTTATTTTGAGACAGAGTCTCCCTAAGTTGCTGAGACCGGCCTCAAACTTAAATGAACTATCATCTCTAGGGTTGGTGGAGTTATAAAAACCTAAAGGCTTAAGGAAGCAGCCCTACAAAGTTGGAATGCAGACTTCTGAGGAGGAACTACTGGCCAGTTAAGTTGTGCTACCTCTGACAGAAAACAATAATGTTGGTTTGGGGAAGGGGAAAGAAGGGAAGGGAGGTAAGGGTTAGAAATGTCAACCAGTTGCCTATGCCATGATTAAAAAATATACACACACACATACACAAAATGATTATAACAAAAACATGGAATAACATTTTCTAATGTCTCCTACTGTCAAGAGTCATCTGGCAAAGGACAAATGTGTAAAGCAAGGGTTGGCAAACTATTGCCTGTGGGCTAGACCCAGTTGGCAGCCTGTTTTTGTATGGACTGTGTTTTTGTATGGATCGTGAGGTAAAAGTAATTTGAAGATTTTTAAAGAGGAAAAGAAGGAAGGGAGAAAGGGAAAAAAAGGAGGGAGGGAGGAATGGGAAGCAGCAGCAACAAAAGAGACCTTAAAATTTACTATCTAGTCCTTTATAGAAAAAGCTTGGCAATCCCTGGTGTGGATTCCAGTCCCAGAATTATAAAGCAGAATATAAAAGAGTGTGTTACAAGTTCAGCAAAAATAGCTTAATGACTAACCCAAAACCTGATTCTCTTTTAGGGTACATGATAGGAAGATCTATTGTTCATCATGAAGCTATCCTTAAACAGGATACTTTCTAAAGCCTGTAAGTTTAAAGTAATGGTTAGTTATGAAAAGGACTACTTAGAAGAAAAATGGTTCATAAGAGAAATCTGTAAAACAATGCCACTTGCTAAGAATTTAAGAATAGTCCACAGTCTTCTTTCCTACTCAAGAATTTAAAACCTAAAAGGCAAAAGACAAAATAGTAAAACTTTCTACTTCAGTTCCCAGATGCTTCTTCTCACTGACTGGAATTATTTTTCTTATTTGGACACTATTCATTTCATTTTAACTCATACAGGAAAGCTTTCAAAATGAAAAGCCAGGCATGTTGGTGCACACCTGTAATTTCAGTAACTTGGGAGGGTAAGGCAGGATGATCACAAGTTCAAGGCCAGCCTCAGCAACTTAAGCCCTAAGCAACATAGCAAGACCCTGATAATCCCTAGTACCAAAAAGACAAATAAATAAATAAATAGAAAGTATAGTGTTTTAGTACCAAAAAGACAAAAAAAAAAATAGTGATTAGAAAACAATGATGAAAACTAATGAAAGGATAAACAAATTTGCTTTCAATTCCTTTCCCAGTGTGAAGTATGAAACATGAGAAGTACCATGTATGTGTGTGTGTGTGTGTGTGTGTGTATCAAAGGATCATACTATATATCATAAATATGTGTAATTTCTGTTGGTCAATTTTAAAATTACTTTTAAAAAGAATTACTCTCCCTAAAAGGAAATTTACAGTTTGGTCCCAATCATGGCAAATCAACAAGCAAGGCAGAATGGTCTCTCATCAAGAAATTGTTTTACACAAAGATCTGTCTCTGCCCTGTAATATTAAGTCAACAAAAAAATCTCAGTCAGGTGTGCCTATAATCTCAGCCACATGGGAAGCTGAGCAGGATAACAGGTTTGAGACCAGCCTCAGCAACTGAGACCCTGTCTCAAAAAAAAAGGGGGGGGGGGGGCGCTTTTATACAAAGCCAGAGATGTGGCTCATTGGTTAGCGCACTTGGTTTCAATTCCCTGAAGCCCCCCAAAACAAACTAACTACAATAACAACAACAACAAATAACCTCTGGCAAACTCCACTATATTTCCACCCAAGTTCAAGCTACCCCAAAGTATTAACCAGTGTGAAGAAAAAAATGTGAAAGAATCTAAATGCTTAACTTACCTTTCTCTGAAATGAGCAGTTACTAGGATACATTAAAGAACACTCTGGGAGGTAATACCTACTTCTATTCTATATCCTCCTTTCTGATGTGTATTTGCAAAATATAAACTGTAATATGGACAAAGAGTTTCAGTAAAGGTAAATAATATACTTTAAAAGGAAATAATCATGGATAATTTCCAAAAAGGTTATCCCAGACACAATTCCAAAAGATCCATGAGACTTTGCTTCAACATTAAATAAATGATTTCCTAAGTAATGATTTTCTTAATGCTGCTCAAAGTATTTTAGTGGTGATTCATTTTACATTCAAATGAAGTAATTAAATAATACAAAGGACAAACCACCTGTTTTAATTTTTAAATGGTAACTAAAATTGAATGACTCATTTTATTTTATAATAATTATTTTACTTTATTCCTAAACTGATAGGGACTCTTCTTCAAGCAAATATATTAAATTCAAAGTATTTTAAGTCTGAATTCATGATCATAGCAGGGGACATCATGCAAAGGGGAAAAACATCAATCAAATGCAAATAATTCTGCAAATAAAATTTTCATCACACAAGTCAGTTTGTGACTGGACAACACAGCAGGCATTTGTCTCCAAAAAAAAAGAAAGAGAGAGAATGTCATTACACAGTAAGCACATATTCTATGAGAAAATGAATGATCAAGTGTATTTTTTTTCATGTACAGATACCAACATCAATGTAAATTTAACCTTAGATTACTGTAAGTCTTGCCTCTATTCTTCCACTTTTCTAGGTTGTCAAATACATTGTTGACACTACAAAACTCCACAATATTGTTTTTCTACCCTGCCAATACCCTCTCCAAAGAGACTGTAAACTAACTCTCCTATAAATTCTGCAAAAAAATAGAACTAATTGGGGCTGGAGTTGTAACTCAGTGGTAGAGCGCTTGCCTAGCATGTGTGAAGCACTGGGTTTGATTCTCAGCACCACATAATTAATAAATAAGCAAGGTCCACAGACAACTAAAAAAATAGAATTATTTCACACAACCACATCAAACCTGTTTTATTTTGTTTTGGGGGAGGGGACCAGGGATTGAGGGGTACTCGACCACAGAACCACATCTCCAGCCCTATTTTGTATTTTATTTAGAGACAGGGTCTCACTGAGTTGCTTAGAGTTCATCATTGCTGAAGCTAACTTTGAACTCACGATCCTCCTGTCTCAGCCTCCCAAGCCACTGGGATTACAGGCTTGTCCCACCACGCCAGGTTTCAAACCAGTTTTGATCCATGCAATACTTTTGATGTTTTGTTTTCATAGGTTATTGATGTGCTTCAAAGCAAAGCCCTCCATGTTTCATTCTAGTGCAGTGGCTGATAATTAATATTCTAGAAAGCAAACAACATAAGTACTGGAGGTCTCTTGTCTATATGACAAACAGTGATTCTATTATTCAAGTAAAAAGCTAACTTATATATGTGGCATAGGCTGTATTCCCATTCAGCTGCTCCCAGTCATTCTATTCAACTCTGCAAACAAAAATAGTCATTAACTTCTGGATAATAAGGTGCTGTAGAAGCTTAACTGATGAGGCTAACTCAAGTTTCAACTTCTTTCAAGTCTTTAATTATTGCAACTGAAAATTCCCTCATTAAAACATTCCCTGGATCCACTTTTATCTTGAGAAAAATATTTTCCAGTAGATGAATTTACAAGTGTCTCTTATAGATGATTTTAATTTTACATCCTTAAGAGTGTCTTGAGCTACATACTGAAAGGATAAATAAAAGGTAGTCAAGGGGTAGGGATGAAATTCTCTCATGTTCTACGGAAACAGTCTCAGATACAAACTCCCAGGTTACCAACACAAATTCTAAACAGAGCGACTGAGTATCACATTAAACAATTCAGGCAAAAAATAAAAAGACTTGTACCTAATACTAAGTGACAATACAAGGCCAACTGGATCCAGTACAAACTTGCCAAAACCTTCTCTTCACCACCAGTGTGGTGTCATTATCAAAATAATCATAATGATAATAAATAATTAACTGCTACAACTCTTCAAATTCTAATGATGAGCCCAAGTATTACCTATCTCTGAATTATTATATTTATTACCATCATACTTAGTACCATCCAGACAAGAAAGCAAAAGACTCATAGTATAGCTAGAATAGGATTCTTATACATGAGTAGGTACACTTTAGTAACTCAAAGAAAAAAATCTAAAAATTGAAATTGGCATTGAAAGCTTTCAATAACATCCAGGCATATTTCTTCTAGTCCCTCTAGGTCACAAGGAATTATGAAGGAAAAGGAGAAAAACACAGTTTTTAAAAAATTCTTTTTAAAAAGTTGTTTTAGCAATATATCTTTGTTTTCCCCCTTAGAGTTTGAAAGACTGTAATCACCATAAACTCAGGACAAATGAATGACTCACTTTTTCTTCCCCTTTCAGGGCTCATCAGCATTCAATAGCTTTTTTACAGACAAACTTGCCCAGCACAGCAGCACTACGCCTGTAATCCCAGAAATTCATGAAGCTGATGCAGGAGGATCACAAACTTGAGGGCCAGCCTCAGCAACTTACAAGCCCCAAGCAATTTAGTGAGATCCTATCCCAAAATAAAAAATGAAAAGGGCTGAGGATGTGGCTCAGTGGTTAAATGCCCCTGGGTTTCAATCCCTGGTATATACATACATACATAAATAAAAATTAAAACAAACTCACTGGACAGGTATGTACTCAGACCACTTGTATGTATAATTACCTTCATGTCATAGCCATATGTCTCCCGAATGTCTTCATCAGAATCTGTTTCTTCATCATCGTAGTCCATTGTTTGTCGAGGGGAAGATGATACACTGCTTACCGCCCGGTTAAAAGCAGACTGCTGGAAACTGGGTAAGTGTCCCTAAACAGCAAAGATTCCAAGATGAACAGAGAGATAGACTAAAAATGGGTAATTAGTAAGTGTGTAAGATAACAAAATGTATTGAACCTGCAAAGCCTAATAGTTTTCTCAGTTAGTAGAAATTTGATTATTTGATTATGTTGCAAACGTCTACCTGAATGATATTTCAGATAATATTTCACTAAAAGGACCTAAATAGGTACTCAAAGAAAATACTACGAATGTATGTAGAAGGAAGATGCCAAGAATAATACAATTGCTGATAAATTAACTGTTATTTCCCAGTCAATTGGTACAATTGATTTACTGTTCACACACTGACAAACACTACCATATAAAATTGAAAAAGAATATAAATGCTAAACTTGCCTGTAAGTCTGGATTGGCGGCTGCTTTTTGGAGTTCTGCACTGATGATCTTTTCAGTTTTTTCCCGAGCTGCCTGTTCCACCATACGCTGGCTTAACACAGAGAGCTTGGCTAAGGCAGAGGATAGTTCATCTGTGGCTAGGGCCTGCCGTGCCCGATCTTGCCAACTCATGGCACGTTCTGTCAAACATTGTAGGGCCTCTCCTTCAGGCAACCGTACGGGCAACTTCTGAAGGGATACAAGCAGTGACAGAATAGTCTCTAGCCTGGGCCTTCGAGAACGCATACAAAGAGGGCAAAGGAATTTTACTTCTTTCGCCTGCCAGCTGGAACCTTTTTTCTGGGAACCTGATTTAGGAAGGGGAACACAGCTGTTATGGAACCAGTCTTTGCAGAGCTCACACTGTAGCATAAACCCACTGGCCGTCTTGCGACAAATGCAAAATTTTACTTCTTCTATGCGGTCCACCATTGTCATCTTGGCTAGGTTGGCTGCTCTGAGAGAATGCATGGCTTCAATCTCTTTTTGTTCTCGTTCTTTGAAAACTGCCACCTGTATATGACAAACATTTCACTGAAAGAAGTCACTACAATACACCCCATTGTAACAAATGTTTATGGCTGAGGAATCTTTCTCCAAATGTGGCCTCATGATAACAAAGCATATCTTAAAAAGAAAAAATCAGTTGTAAACAATTTCCTAAAATTTGGGTACCCAGCCAGTATCCACACAAACATTCCTCATCTGGGAAACAGGCAAAGTGCAACCAGATTTGACAATTTACTTCAATAGAATACTTTAAATTCTTCTGTAGGGCAGAACAGAAAGAGGGTACTCCTTGCTCAGTGTGATAGCACATATCTGAAAACCCAGCAACTCCGGAGGCTGAGGCAGGAGAATCACAAGTTTGAGGGCAGCCTCTGCAACTTAGTGAAACCTTGTCTCAAATACATAAAGAACAGGACTGGACATGTAGCTAAGAGATAAAGTGCCCTTGGATTAAATCCCTAGTACCACAAAAGTGAGGAGAAAGAAGTATGCCTTGAAATCAAACATCTTGGGTATGAAGCCAGCAACTCTAGTTATAAGATTAATCAAGAGTAGGAAAATAATTTTTAAAATGTAAGAGCGACACGAAGTTCACTTTATTACTTAAAACAGGAAACTTAGTATCAGGTAAATTATTTAATATTAGAAAACTATTCAACAGACTAAGGGTGCAGCTAAGTGGTAGAATACTTGCCTAGCATATGAGAGACATGCCTTGGGTTTGATGCCCAGAGTCCCCCCAAAAATAAGAAAGAAAATAACTTAGCAAATTATGGGCAACTTTGTGAAACATGACACAACTATTAAAATAACAATAAAGGGGGCTGGGATTGTGGCTCAGTAGTAGAGTGCTTGCCTAGCATGCATGAGGCATTGGGTTCGATCCTCAGCACCACATAAATGTAAAATAAAGACATTGTGTCCACCTAAAACTAAAATAATAAAGAATAGAGATATGGGGACTGGGGTTGTGGCTCAGCGGTAGAGCTCTTGCCTAGCACGTGCAAGGCACTGGGTTCAATCCTCAGTACCACATAAAAATAAAATAAATAAAATAAAGTATATATATATATATATATATATATAGAGAGAGAGAGAGAGAGAGAGAGACAGAGAGAGAGACAGAGAGAGAGAGAGAGAGACAGAGAGAGAGAGAGATGTGAAAAAGATTAAAACAATTTTGGGAAGAAAGCAGAGCACTAACCTTCTCTGCACTACCATTACAAACATATGCATACACACACACACACACACACAAAGAGAAAGTATATGAAAGTAAAAATAGTTAAAAACAGTAAACCTGCTAACATCTTCACAGATTTTTGCATTCAGAAAGCAAACTCACTATGTATTACACAGTTTCTTACCACCATAGCTGTGTCTCTGGTTTCTTCCAGTCCTTCCTCCAGATCACTCAAAGGTTCAAGGTCCAGGTCCTTTTCTTTTTCTTTTTCTATTAGTTCTTTTACTTTTTTCCTTCTGTTTTTACCACTCCCATATATACCAATGTCAGTCCGGGGACTTAGCACCTACAAAAATAAAATCAAATATGAACTATCATTTTCAAAACAATGTTAAAAAGTGAAACTAATAGAAGGAACCATTTATAGACAACTCACCATGTCCCAGGCACTTATTAAAAGGACTTAATACAACTTACCTAATTCAATCTTCAGAACAACTTTATGTAGGAGGTATTATATTCCACATTTTACAAATAAGAGAAACTAAGAGTCAGAAAGGAAGCAACTTATCCAAGGACATAGGGTTGGTAATTAGGAAGCCAGTCCTCAAATCTGAAACTCTTATTCCAAAGCCTATGCTCTTAACTACTATGTTCAACTGTGCAAGACAAAAAGGACTGTGTGTTTTAGTTTAAATGTGTGCTTCTGAGAAAGACAACCTTCCAGTGACAGACTTTAATAACAATAGATATATGAGCCAGGTTGGTTGCTTTTTCTGAACACTGCATGAAATTAACCAGAAATGAGTCTTAACAAAGGCTTTAGATTTCCGGTCAACATCCAATATTACTAATAGCAATCACTTGTCATAATGACCAGATACACTGAAAACAACCCTTACCAAATACTACTACTACCTATAGGTATTTATTTATCAGCTGCTGATTATAGTGCTGAAGTGTATATAAAGTATTCTTTACCTGTAACAACGTATGGCTGGAATTCTTCTTAAGAAAGGTCCGCCCAGTCCGTTCTCTCCATGCCCGTGCTGCTGCTACCTGTGACTCCACTTGGGGCAGTGCATCAAGGCGCACAGGGATAGGGCGCCCTTTAGCAGATAAACTCTCAAGCTGCTCCAAATAAGCATAGTTGCTGCCACTCTGCAAAACAAAAATAGATTCTCATACAATGGGAGTTCTATTAGGGAATCTAGCAATATACTATTGGAAGAATTTACAAAAGTTTACTGTTGATTTTTGTATAAATAAAACTAATTGTATCTCTTGAATTAATATAACTTTCAATGCCCTATTTTTAAAAGTTATACATTAATTTTAATGTTTTAAATTTTAATTGGTGCATTATAATTATACATAACAGTGGGAATCCTTATGCCATTTTTGTAAATACACGTAATATAATTTGACCAACATCATTCCCTAGTACCTTCCCAATCTGTTTGCTCTATTCTATTACTACCTTCTATTATTAAAGTTATCCCTTTTTTTGGCTGGGCGGAGGGGTACTGGGGATTAAACCCGGGACCACACCCCAGCTCATTTTGTATTTTTTGAGACAGTTTTACTAAGCTGCTGAGGCTGGCCTTGAACTTGAAATCCTCCTGCCTTGGCCTCCCAAGCCACTGAGATTAATGTTATTTTAATTGGTGTGATATATAATTGTGTGTGAGATATATATACACACATACACGTGATTCACATATATGTACATATATAACATATATAGAGCATAATTTGTAGATTTCATTCCTGTATTCAGGCCCTTCCCTCCTCCCTCCCTCTACTCTATTGGTCTTCTATATACTTTTTCTTCTATATACTTTTTTTTTTTGGTACTGGGGTTTGACTCAGGGGCACTCGACCACTGAGCCACATCCCCAGTCCTATTTTTATTTTATTTAGAGACAGGGTCTCACTGAGTTGCTTAACACCTCACTTTTGCTGAGGCTGGCTTGGAACCTGCGATCCTCCTGTCTTAGCTTCTCGAGCTGCTGATATTACAGGAGTGTACCACTGTGCCTGGCATACATTCATTTTTTAATGAACATGTAATCAAAGATCTTATTTACTTTATTAATAAGAGAACAAGTAAGATATAAAAATTAATTCAAAGGACAATCTGAGGGACAGATAGCATAAATACAATTAGGAATGAGGAAATGAATTTGCTAATTGATGAAAACAAATATTTAATGTTATCTAGGACAATGGAATTATCATTTCTACAGTGTTGAAATCCAGTGAACCATTACAGACAAATTTAATTTTCTATGAATACAAACCTAAAAGCAGGATTTTAGTTCTAATAACCACTTCCATTTTATGTTATATAATCAGAGGATAGAATGAGTACTTTCTTTCTAAGTTAACAATGTTTCTATATTGCCATATAACAAAACCATTATTATCTCTAGAACTTAAATACTACATTCCAGTAAAAAGTTATTTCTCATGTATCTAATGAAGCATTTGCCTGTAAACTCATTTTGAGAAATACACTGAAGCATATGGGTAACAAACAGGTTCTAGTCCCATGAGATATTTTAATGACATAATTAAATCATTATGGTACCAAGATAAGGATAGCTAAATGGAATAGATCAAAAAGCTCACATTTTAGGACCGAGAAATAACATTTATATTCAGGCATGGTGGCAAACACCTGTAACCCCAGTGACTCGGAGCTGAGGCAGGAGGATTGTAAGATGAAAGTCAGCCTAAGCAACTTAGCGAGGCCCTAAGCAATTCTGTGAGACCTTGTCTCTAAATAAAATATAAGAAGGATTAGGGATGTGGCTCAATGGTTAAGTGCCCAAGTGCAATCCCAGTTACCACAAAAAAAAAAAGAAGAAGAAGAAAAGAAAGAAAGAAAAAGAATTACAATTATTACTATTATCCCTCTTGTGCCCAACCATGGCTATTTGTCTATAGAACACCTTCTAGACCCAGCCTACTCCAGTATTTTAAAGAAAAGTCTGCCTATCAACAGAATCTTACACAGAGCCTAAAAGTTAATTCTCCAATGAAGGGAAGAGCCTAAGAGAAATAATTATTTCAAAATTACAAAGGAGATGCAGGACAGCTTGTCAACTAGGTCTTTCAATCATAAATCATGTTTAAGGATTATCAGATTTTCAAGACAACCAACTGCCTGAGACAGGTCAAAGACAAAACAAAGAAACTACCCTGATGAAAACAGAGGTAATTTTTAAAAGGGGGGGGGGGGGGGGGAAACAGTGGCAGCTAAGGAAGCCCCAGAAAAAGTCAACTGAAAATTCAGATAGTAAAAGAGAAGTCATTAAAACTTAATACCTAGCACATGTTCTTTGTTGGATTAGCAGTTTACTGAAAGTGATTTGATTCTCCTTTTCTTTGAATATATTTCTACAACTAAGAATATTTACACATATAGTACTGCAGATGCTACTTAATGGTTTTTTACAGTCTAAGCATACTTTTTAGCACTGACTTCACTGCTTTAATATGTTGTTCCACCTAGAAAATTTGCTATTTTGAAGCCAAAGCCTATATTTCTTTTTTCTCTATTTTTTTTTTTTTACTCCATCTGCTGTTATTTTTATTTATTTACTTTTATGTGGTGCTAAGGACCAAACCCATGTCTCATATGTGCTAGGTGAGCATTCTACCACTGAGCTACAAAACCCCATCCCCAGAGTCCTATCTTTCTTTATACCCTTTCCCGTATATTCCTATTCCCAAACACCTTTTTAGATATTTTAGTACACAAGAGTATTGTGGTGCTTAGTAAATTTTAATTTCATTTTATTTTTCTGCCTCTTATTTTAACAGTAATTCATACTTAGACAGCAGGTTAAAAAACAAAAAAACCTACTAATAAGAGTTGAATAGCTAAGTTTTATCACTTTTCAGAACAAAACTTATTAATGTTTAAGTAGGTAATATTTATTACAAAATCAAACAAAGTAAGTAAATTTTAAGTACCATTATTATTTTACTGTGATTATTCTATTTTAAATAATTAAAGGTATAAAGGTTTCATTTCTGAGATAGGTACTACATGATGGGTAGGTTAATACAAAAGTCTGCTTACCTGAATAGCTTCTACTTTAGCTGTCCATTCTCGAGCCTTTTGTAAGGCTTCTTTCAGGGACAACACATTGGGTAGAAAGGCTGGAATGTTCTTAGCTTCATTCACAATGCTTTCTAAACTTGCCACACTGTGCCTAGGTCTAAAAGAACAATAAAAATAGGGTGAGATGCATGAGGAAAAGTTCAAATGATACCAACATTTGAACAGTTCTTTATAATGTATAGACAATGTTGATATACATGATTTCATTTAATTCCTACCACAATTCTATAAAGGAGGCAAATCAGTTATCTTTATTTTCACTTTATACATAAGAAAACTTTAACTCAAAGAAGATAAATTGTTTTCTCCAAAGTCATTTAATGTAATAAATGACACACCTGAAGTACTGATTCAGAATGAGTTTCAGCACCAAGCTCCTTTTACTACCCAGCACTGGACTGCCTCTACTCTAGCTCTCTATAATACCTGAAATGGTCAAAGATGCATATTTATTAGCAGTGCAGAAGCAACAGACTAGAAATCTATTAATGTTAACCATGTAAATTTAATTTACTACATTCATTAATAACTAGTTAAACAAGATGAATAAAACATAGACCTTATTCTCAATTAATCAGAATACAAGAGAAGAATTATACTAAGAATAAAATTACTATGGACTCACAACTGTAGGAAGTTGTAATTACTTCTGCCCAGAAGAATTAAGAGCTTTGACCAGGCCTTAAAGAAGTATGATTTTATCAAATGAAAGGTTAAAGAAACAAAACCAGGAGAACAAAGGTATGGACAACCATTTAAAAAGAGGTTGAGGTAGTGGCTATGAAGCTGGCCTCATGAAGATAGAACTGTTTACAGATGTGCCTAAGATGGCTGAGAGCTATAGGCAATTCTGCAGTGGAGAATTCAGAAGAGTCCTTTTGGCTCTAGTGTGTCCTAAACTAAAAAGGCCTGTTGATTACCTGTCATCATTCCACATCTATTTCTTTTTGATTACAGAAAATATGGGGTGTCAATAAGATACAAAGGGAGCACATTCCTCAGGAAAAATCACTCATGTGATGAGAAAGACTGAGAATGTACCCACAGACCCCAACAATAAGCAATTTGCCTGTGGTAATATCACAGTGTGGGGAAATATAGTTCAGAACAAAACTGAATCAGATTATCCCTTGCTCTCAGTGATTTTTTTTTTAGTCAAATAAACTGACCTAGCCTCTGTGTTTGCTCTCCTGCCAGCTATGACCCTATTTGATCAAGAGAGACCCTGAAAGTATCACAGATTCAGAACCATGATTATCTGTTTACATTTTCAACTGTAAATAAAGTTTTTTTGTGTGTGGAAAACAAAGAAGCTGGTAGTTCAGTTTCAGATGGGGGCGATGTTGTGGATGCAAGGAGGCAGGTGGAGTGAGGGGATTTGGCAAGAAAAAAAGATGCAAGCAGATTAGAAATTTTGAGAGCCATGAATTTCACTATGTAAAGCAACAGACAGCTTCAAAGTCAGAGTGGTTTCATCATTCATGAAACTTTTTAATCTTGTGGTGAGAATTATTCATAAGGAGTTATGATGCACTGTGATACCTGCAATGATAAAGAAAAGTGAAGGTGCTACCAAAATACATAGTAGAAGGACCTAATTGACTTAACAAGTGAAAGAAGCCTTGCTGACATTTAAGCTTTCTCATCCTTTCTGAATAGAAGCAAATCAGAAAAGGTGGGGAAAGCACAGGGCAGAAGTGGTAAGAAGCACACCACAGAATTCAAATATAACAGTGCTCCACAGAAGAAAAAACTAAACACACACAAAGATCTTGAGAAAGAAAGAACATGATATGTTTGAGGAACTGGGGTGGGAAGGTTACTATATTTGGAACATGGAATATGAGGAAGAATGACAAAAGATGAGGCAACATATGTAATTAAGCAAGGAGATAGATAACAAATGGCCTTATAAACTAGGTGGAGGAATTTGGACTGCATCCTGAGGGCATTGGGAAAATAGGGAAAGGCTCTAAACAAGGAAATGAAAAAGGGACACCATTAGCACAACACTAGTGACAGTGTGGAGAACAGATCAGAGAGGGTTAGACCACTGGCAGAACCTGATGCTAATGACCTAAACTACTATGACAGCAGTCCAAGGGGAAGGAAAGGAAAAAAAAAAAAAAAAAATCCTACAAGCAGCCCAAGCAAAATTATTCTCTTCAAAACAGCAGACAAGATATATTCAAAGGGACTGGGGTTGTGGCCTAGCGGTAGAGCTCTCGCCTCGCATGTGTGAGACCCTGGGTTCAATCCTCAGCACCACATAAAAATAAATAAACAAAATAAAGATATTAAAAAAAAACGTTTAAAAAAAGAGATATATTCAAAGTACTGAGACAAAATAATTATCAAGCCAGGCCCAGTGGCATACGCCTGTAGTCCCAACAGCCCCAGAGGCTGAGGCAGGAAGATCCTGAGTTCAAAGCTGTCTCAGAGGAGGGGAGGAGTAGGGGGGATAGGAAGGCAGCAGGATAGAATAGACATTATGATTGATGTATGTACATTCCATGTATGTATTATATGTCAAAATACATTCTGCTGTCATGTATGACAAAAAATAAATAAAACATGAAAAAAAAAAGCCAGTCTCAGCAACTTAGACCCTGTCTCTAAATCAAATATTTAAAAAAGCTGGGGATGTGGCTCAGTTATTTAGCACCCCTGAGTGCAATCCCTGTACAAAAAAAAAAAAAAATCCACCTAGAATAATTCTACACCTAATGAAGAAAAATATATTTCATATGATTGACTCTAAGGGTAAGGAATAAAAAAGGTAGCTACTAAAGTACTTGCTTGTTCAAATTTGTGCAAGATGTTATAATTCACAGAATAAAGAAACAAAAAAGAGGGCTGGTATGAGGATTTAATCCAATTTGGATACAGGGAATTTGAGGTAACTGCCAGGAACATCTACTGGAATTATCTAAAAAGCAGAGGTTATCTATGAAAGACATTTATATTATGGATGAGAATTTAAGAGTTATTCACTATAAAGATGGTAAATAGAGCCAATGAAATTTCCAAGGAGATTACAGAGTGAAAAAAGAAAAAGATCTAGTTTAGAATCTTGAGGAAAGCCATTATTTGAAAGACAGAGAGAAGGCCAAAGGCAAAGAATACAAATACCAAGAATGATAAGGACTTAATAACCAATGCTGTGAGATCAAGAATATTAAGGATATGTTTCAGAAAGATAATTCTAACAGAAGATGGAAAAGATTCTACCTCCAACTATCTCCACTAACCTGTTTCTTCATTAATTTTATTTTCTTCATGACACTTATTATCTGAAATTAACCTATTTATCCCCCCTCTCGCTCTTCACTAGAATGTTAATTCTATGACAGAAGAGAGACCTTATGTATCTTATTCACTACTGTCTCCACAGAACTTAGAAATAGTGCAGATACATGGTAGGTACTCTATAATATTTACTGAACAGCAAAGATAAAGGGAAAATATAAAAGGACTATAATTAGGTCAGTGACATTGGAGTTTAAAAAAAAGAGAGATGAGATATTTTGTTTGCAAAAACATCAGAACTTGGTGACTAATTAAATACAGGAGATTGGGAAAAGAAAATTTTCAAATATTACTCCCAATAAAACTTATTTTAGTAGACTACTATCAGTTGCATCAGGTATACCAAATCATAGTTTTATATTCCAAAATCACTTAGCTTTACCCAATTAATATGCTTCCATCTAGTTCAGAATAAAGCTATGAATAAACTTTAACACATTCTGCATGGCACCTGAAGAGCAAAGAATCCAGCAACCATTGGAGACTCCTCTTAAGTAAGTAGAGCTGTGTTAATTAAGTCACCTAAAGAGTTTCCTACAAATGCTTCCAAAGTAAGTGGCTGACAAAGTAGTTAAGTGCATAGATACTTTGGGAGGATTGCAAGAGGCTTTAAATTTCAGCTATGTCACTTAATAACCATGTATCCTCATAACAGAAAATTATGTAGATATTAATCAGCTGCTAGAGAAATGCTTTCACCAAAAAATTCCATGATTAATTACTAGCCAAATTAACTGAAATACAGTCAAATATGATGACCCCTTTACTTAAATCTCATAAAGTCCAATGGGGTACCAATGCTATGCAACTCTAACCTGATTCCTATCTCTTATTACTTTCCTGCAAAAGTCTTCCACTCTAGTATCATTTATTTTCTGTCATCTGAACATAGTCCTTAAACTTTGCTTACATCATTTCTCATATTTCCCCCTACCTTACTTCAATCCTACTCATTCTTCAAGATTCTCCCCAAATTCTTACTTTTCTCATAAGCTTTTAAACTCACCATCCAAGCTAAGATCTCTCCTTGTTCCTATAAGATTTTTCCATACCTCTCGATTAATAAAAAGATATTTCAATGAGCTTTATAACTATTATTTCCTAATTATATCATTAATTGTGGCTCTTAACAAAATACTACTTTGTATCATTTAAAGGTACCATACAAAGTATTCAACACAATAGTTTGCATATGTGAAACAGTCTACCTACTTACAGCACCATTTGATAACTCAGTGACTGGGAAAGGAGACACAAAACATTTAAATAAACATATAATGAAACAGGCCCTTATGTTTCTCCTTCCCCTTCTTCCTTGTATCTTGGTTATTAAAGAGGCAGCAGTCACCAAAATATGTGTTCACCTTGCCTGTAGGCAGACCTTAGCCTTTTCTTCCCATCGTTCAGAGACAGTGAGAAGCTCCTGTAGTTCAGCCATGGCTTTCTCCACGGCATGGTGGGGTGCTAACCCTACTCCAGAGTCAATCAGTTTCTTCATGACATCCAAAGTGACTTGTTGTGGATCTGAGAGGGTCAGTCTTACTTCATCCAGCCACCGAGCCTGCTGTAGCTCTTGCTTAAGTTGAGGCAATTCAGGTAGCTCCACATAGAGACTAGAACCCATGTCTATCAACATCTGAAGTTTGGAAGAGTCTGGCGTTTCATCCATCATGGCCTCCTGAGCACGTTCGTGAAATTCTTCTACATCATCCAGCAAATTCTGAATAGGTGAAAAAAATAAAAATGAAAAGAAAATTTTGATTGAGGCTATAGCTCAGTTGGAGAACACTTCCCTAGAATGTACAAGGCCCTGAGTTCCATCCCTACAATGTGCAAAAAAAAAAAGCAAATTAAAGATACAAAATAAGCATGGAATAGAACAGAGTTCAGGTAAGCTATCAATTCTAGACTCTCTTATAAATCTCACTATCATAGCATCAAATATTCAGATATAATAGTTAAAAGCATTATGCTTCTCAGTAATTCTATCCATAATCTTATTTTTAAAATACAATTGATTCGTTTAATAAATATTTAAGACTACTAACTTAGATGTAGCCACTGCTCTAGGCACACAGTACTAAAGACATAAAAAAGTCCTTGTCTTCAGGAAACCATATACTCTAATATATGTGGACAGACAATAAACATGAAAAAAAAAAAGTTTGTTAATATTAGTATTCTGAAAATAAAATAAGGCAACACAAAACACAGAATGACCAGAGGAGCAGGAGGCACATTTATTAGCAATGGTAGTCACAGAAGACAGTGAACCAAATCTAAAACAAGGGAGTGGGAGTGGGAACTATATGCAGATTCTAGTAGAAAAATAGTTCAGGCAGGACAAATATTATTACAAAAGCTTTTAAAAAGGAATAAGCTTGATGTCCTGTTACAAGTGGATGAGAGAGATGTAAAGAATAAGCAGAGCTCAGATTACATAATGTTTTATGGATTATGAGTTTGGATTTCATTCTAATGGCTTTGGGAAACCACTGAATGATTTTAACCACAAGTGAGTTCTATGATTTGAGTTATATTTTAGATAAACACTCCGGCTACCAAACAAATAATAAACTGCCAAGAACAAAAGCAGAAGAGAAAGCAGCTAGGAGGCTATTGCGGTAAAATAAGACACAGATGCAACTGCCACAGAGCAATTTCAAGCAATGATGATACTAGAGCAATTTTAATCAGAGATCATGTTAAAAACATGGTTCACTGTGGGATATATTTTGGAGGTAAATGCAGCACTTATTTAGAGATTGGACATGGAGTATAGGAATATAAAGGAATCAAGGATTTTGATTCATTTGACTAATTAAAAGGTTTTTCAGCTATCTATTAGTCTGCCAAGAAATGTAGAGTATGCATCTGAATATACAAAATCCATAGAAAAGAAATACAGTGAAAGCTGGAGATCTGGGAATCAACCAGTTGCATGTAACATTTAATGACACTCGACAAAACAAGAAGATATCAGGAGAGGTTACACCTAAAGAAATGGCTGATGAGGCCCTAAGCAACTCAGTGATATCCTGTCTCTAAATAAAATACCAAATGCACTGGGGATGTAGCTTAGTGGTTAAGCACCCTGGAGTTCAATCCCTGGTACCAAAAAGAAAAAAAATGACTGAGACTCCTAATACACTCCAACACTTACTAGTGAAAAAAAAACAACAAAGAGAAGTAAAAGAAGGAATGTGTGGTATCACAATTGATTACAGAAAAAAGCCATTGAAAAAAGAAAGTAGCTAACTACCAAAATGAAAATGTTCTTATGAAATGCAGTAAGATCATAAATTATACTAGATTTTACAAGTTGATAGCCTTCTTAAGAGCTATTTTAAACATTCTAGCCACTTCCAAAACACAAAAATTATCAAAATATTACAAAACATACAAACTAACATACTTTTGAGATTTTACATATTCATTAAATCATTGGAACCTGAATAATTTCAGAGCTCTGTATTTTTAAAAGCTCATGTGTATTAGAAACTTCCTGCTATACTCAGATTTTAAAACCAATTTACTGTGTTTCAGTTACCTTTATTTAAATAAAGTCTCAGCCAGGTGCAGTGGTGCATGTTTGTAATACCAGCAACTCGGGAGACTGAAGCAAGAGGATTGCAAGTTCAAAGCAAGCCTCAGCAACTTAGCAAGGCTCTAAGCAACTTAGAAAGACCCTGTCTCAAAACAGAAATAAAAAGGGCCAGGGATGTGGCTCAGTGGTTAAGCACCCAAGGGTTCACTCCTTGATACCAAAAATAAATAAATTACATAAATAAATGTATAGAAGCTCTGACCCAAATTTAATATTAAAATATTTTTTTAGTTTACTTAGTTCCAGAATGTTAAAAGGTATGAAGGCTAAGAATAAAACTAAGAAACTGCCTACTAAATAACCTTAAATAACAGTATATATAAAAGAAAAGAAGCCAACAGAACAAAAAAACAGACATACAATTTCGTTAAACCAAAACAGCTGTCCATATTACAATGGATATTACTCAAGAAAAGAATTTTACACTTCACCTTTACTTGTCGAGCTTGGCTGATGACACATGGAAGACTAAATAGTTGTTGGACAAAGGCTTTCAATTCTTCTACTGTCAGTTTGGTCCTAGTCCTCCCACCATCTGAGCTTTGCCTGTTGTGAAATAATATTGAGCCATAAGTAAGAATAACTCAGTCTTTCTGATATAAAATAGGGCTCTTATTCTATTCAGAATTCAAACCTAAGCAATCTTAGAATCCTGGTGTTAGAATCCATTATAAAGGTAATCACTTCAAAATAAAATTTTAAACTCTTCAGTTAATGATTCTAAGATTCAACACTCCAAGTCACATTTCTTCCAATCTGTAAGTGCTAAATATCTCCAACATTAAATAAATTCACCCATATTAGTTTTATTAATAAAACTAAATCCTGTATGTTAAAATGTTTACAATCTGAAACAAGGGCCTTTAACCTGCCTTAGAATAACAAATCACCTAAAATTATTTCAAAATCTTGTGTGTACATGCACTTTTCTAAAAAGTTCCCTAAGCTTTTATAGATTCCAAGGGATTCAATGATCATTTAGTGACAAGATAAGATCTACTGGGCAATGTCTCTTAAGACACAGGCACAGTAGTACATTCCTGTATTCCCAGCAACTTGGAAGGCCAAGGAAGGAGGATCACAAGTTTGAGGTCAGCCTTAACAACTGAGGCCCTAAGCAATGTAGCAAAACCCTATCTCAAAATCAAAATTTAAAAAAGTCTGGGGATGTAGTTCAGTGTGGTAAACACTCTTGGGTTCAATTCCCAGTACCAAAAAAAAAAAAAAAAAAGTCTCAAAGATTCTCTGATAAATTGGTAGGTTTAAAAAAAAACAAAACAAAACTTCACAAAGTAATTTAGAACTCAATGTGAAGTATTATAGACAAAAGCTATTCAGATATAAGGAATATGTTGGAATGACTATGAAATAATACTACAGAAAAGTTAATGCATATGAATTGCATTAAGTCAGGCATAACCCTTCTATGCTCCTTAACCAACCACAGCCTCTTCCACATCCATCAAGGTTACTCTTTGCTGCCACTTGCCTTTAGCTTGTAGTATCATTTATTTATTTACAAATATTTACTGTGCACCTGCTATATGCTGTATTTGTAAGCACAAGAAATATAGCAATGAAAATCAAAATCTTTGACATTCTGGTGGAGAGAAGAAAGAATGGAGGAGATAGATATGTGTGGTGGCATAGTCTATAATCCCAGCAACTCAGAAGGCTGAGGCAGAAAAATGACAAGTTCAAAGCCAGACCAACAACTTAGCAAGGCTCAAAACAACTTAACAAGATCCTGTCTCAAAAAATAAAAAAGAGCTGGGGGTGCTGAGGTTGTGGCTCAGTGGTAGAGTGCTTTGTAGCATGTGTGAGGCACTGGGTTCAATTCTCAGCACCGCTTATAAATAAGTAAATAAAATAAAGGTCCATGAACAAATGGGGATGTGCCTCTGGGTTCAATTCCTAGTGCTCACCACCACCACCCCCCACCCACCTAGAAAGAGAGAGAATGGAAGAAATGACATTAAATAAGTAAATTGGTGTATCAAAAGGTGACAGAGTTAGAATAAAAACAAAGTAGGAAAGGATAGGGTTGCAATTTCATAAAGGACTATGAGAAAAGGCCTGTCCCAGAAAGTGATTTCTTCATTTTTGGAGTACTGGGGATTGAACCCAGGGACACTTAACCACTGAGCCACATCCCTAGCTATTTTTTGTGTTGTATTTAGAACAGGGTCTCACTGAGTTGCTTAGGGCCCTGCCAACTTGCTGAGGCTGGCTTTGAACTCACAATCCTTTTGCTTCAGCCTCCCAAGCCACTGGGATTACAGGTGTATGCCACCATACCTGGCCTAAAAGTGATAGTTTTAAAAGACCTAAAAGAAGTACAACAACAGCACCTGGATATGGTGGAAAGAGAACTCTGAGTGAAGAGAAGTGAGAATGCAAGAGCATGCCTGGTATGTATGAAGAACACCAAGAATGCTCTAGAGTGGAACAAAAAAGGAGAGTTTTTGAGGGAAAAAATGAGAAATGATATATATCACCCCTTTAGTAAAGTGCAACAGTTCTAATAAAAAGTAGATTATGAAGTTACTCAAACTCAAAATACTTTATTCAGATCCTGTGTTATTAAATATTCCTGATCTTTGTTGTTAAGAAATTTGAATTTGGGACCTGAATGAATGAATCAATTAGCTACTATCAATTTAAGGTGGATGGTCTTGAACTAAGTATGTTCTTTTCTTCTTTGGTAAGTGATATTTTTCTTTTCTGGGTTTTCCCTCCACATAAGAAAACAATACTACTGCTTTCCATTTATCCACAGGCATTTGCTTCATCTACCTTTTTTTTTTTTAATATTTATTTTTTAGTTTTAGGTGGACACAATATCTTTATTTTTGTTTTTACGTGATGTTGAGAATTGAACCCAGTGCCTCACGCATGCTAGGCAAGCACGCTACCACTTGAGTCACATCCCCAGCCCCTCATCTACCTTTTTGAAAAAGTAAACTTTCATATTTTCGTAAGCTTGTGGACTTGTGGACCATGTTTCACAAATCTCATTTGAAAAGTCATTAAACATGTCTAAGAAGGGAGAGAATGCTAGGTCATAAACTGCACATGCTGTTAATTCCCTCAGATACAAATGAATATAAAATAAATTTAGTGGGTCTTCAAAAATTATTTTCCTGGCTACAGGTAGGTCTTTGTCCCATACTATATAACTTCAGTGCTGATTTCCAGCATTGAACCCAGCAGGTCTGTCTGCTGTCTTCCTGATACAGCTATTTACAAGTAACTTATACTATTACAGTTTTAAAAGTTTCTGACAATTTGAGGGAGGGAGAAAAGGAACAGCAGAAGACCTGGGCACTACTGGGAAAGACACGGCCATAAGAGGTCAGTGATAACATAGGATTTCATAGGCCAGTTAAAACTTTGGCTTTTAATCTGAGGGAAACAGGAAACCACTGGAAAAATCAAACTCTTTTTAGGTTTACCTATGTTTTTGTTTTTTGCTCAGAAGCAGCTGAGCCACAGAAGCGCAAGTCTCAGCTTCTTTTACAGCATCCCTGAGTTTTCGAAAGAGATCATTCTCTGGGTATTTTCTATCCTCAGCATCCTCCAGCATTACTCGCAATTCAATCAAATCTGTAAAAATAAATAAAAAGCCATATGCTATGATCACAGACAAAACCATTCTAAAATCCTCACTAATCTCACTCAAGTGAGTCATCAACTTAATAGTAGAAATGTAACTGCAGCTATGAAAATCTCTCCAATGCAATAAAAACTTCTGATCAGGTGCCCATTCCAAATGCCTATAGATGACTTCTCTCAGATAAGGTTACTTCATTTTTAAAAAAGCCTTCGGTGTTGATCCACTGGTTAGCAAAGGCTCGACTAAATATATATCTACTCCAAGTTATCTGTTCCATTTTGTCAGTTTTTTCATTTAAATGAAGATTCTCAAGTACAAAATTAAGCCTATATTCAACTAACCCACTAGTCTCAAAACAAAAACATCCTTAAAACTTTTGCCTCTTTAAAAGTGACAATGATTTCAGTATATTATACAAAAGAAGGAAACTTAACCTTTTTTGTGGCTGAAATTAGCAGATAATGCTTCTGTAACTCGACTGACCCAAGTGTCATAGGACTGTGCCCTGACTTTTACACCATAAAGAAGAGAAGGGAGGTCTTCTAGTGGGTAGCGATATCTACAAAAAAAACAAGAAAGAAACAGACATACACAAACACACACAAATAAAAACTTCAAAATCCAACAACTTGAAAACAAATTAAATTTTAAGTACAATCAGCTTAAGAAAAGTACAATGGCCAAGGGAATGGAATCTTGGTTCACATTAAGCAAAAACTGAACCAGGTGTGGTAATGCAGGCCTATAATCCCAGTTATTAGGAGACTGAGACAAGAGTATCGAAAGTTCAAGGCCAGCCTGGACAATAAAGGGAGACCTGGGTTTCAAAGAAGAGAGAGGGAGACAATAAAAAAAAAGCCCACAGCTTTAATGCAGAGAAAAACAAGGAACATATGGAATTAACTAGTAAAAAAAACACTAATTTTAGCTGCCACTTTTAGAGCCAACTTTAAAAGAATGAACCTCAAGTAGGAAAGTGAATACAGAAGTTGTTAACAGCAGGGCACTGCGGCACACGCCTTTAATTCCAGCAGCTTGGGAGGCTGAGGCAGAGGATCATGAGTTTAAGGCCAGCCTCAGCAACCTAGTAGCCCTAAGCAACTTAGCGAAACTCTGTCTCTAAATAAAATACAAAAAGGGTGGTGTAAGGTTGTCGGGTCAGTGGTAAAGCGCCCCTGAGTTCAATTCCTGGTACCAAAAAAATAAAAAATTACGAGCAGTTTAGGGTCAGGGAAGGGAATAATTAAGAACAACATTAAGATTTGTTGTTGTTGTTTAAAAGGTAATATAAGTTTTACAAATTCCTTTTGGATACCTAAGACATTTCTTCTGCATGGGGCAGGGACACAAATCGGTTGGATGGTAGAGACATACAAGCCGCTCAGGATTACAGGAGCACGTGAGAGCAGAAAGAAAACATGTAGTTCTGCATGCTGAACACTGTCGCTCATCGTCAGGAACAAGTTCAAACACTTCTTCTTCTGACATCAAAACACCCTGAAATATAATTTATGTCACGAGATCAAGTCTTTCTAGTCTTTAAAGCAAAGAACTTAAATTGTGTTTTTCTACAGATAAATCTCCAATTTAAAGCATAAATATGTCATACCATATACAATGGTATGACATCAAAATGCTTCCTAAAACATGGCTACTTTTTTTTAATGGTACTGGAGATGACTAGATCTTTAAAACTGTGCAAAACTTAAACTTTGCTGTTGAATAATATATGTTTGAGTGATAAAACTATACAAACATGCAAGGAAATAATTACTACAAAAGTCAAGATAGTTTTTTGAGGAGGCAAGGGAAATTTTAATTGGGAGGTTAAGAAATGTAAGGTTGTCAGGTCAAGAAATATAAGTTTGTCAGTTTTTGGGGTAGCTGACTTTTCTTTCTTGACCTGAGTGATGATGAAAAGAAGTTTTACCACATAATTCATGAAGATACACACAGAACACAGGTTTTATGGGGTTTTGTCTTCTCTTTAAAATAATAAAAAGATTAACCTTTTTTTAAATTACTGCTCCAGTAACTTGAACCAAATAAATTAGTAATCTGAAAATAACACTGATGTGTACAAACATATGCAAGGACAAAGAAGTATAAAATTACCGAATTATAAAAATCAAAATACTTCAACAAGATGTCAACAGAAAAAAGTTAAATCAAATAGAAAGTAACAGCATATGAAGTGTATTATACAAACACTTGCATTTATTACACAAGAGTTCCCTTTATGGTTTCTGCTTATTTGAGAAAAGCACTTGTAAACCCAATTTTGCTATAAGAGCAATTTTTATTTTCATTTAAACAAGACTGAAACCTGATAATTTGGCAACTAATAAGATTTCTGGCTGCTTCAAAAAATTCTACGCCATTTGGCAAAGTGTATACACAAAGTGTATACTCCAAGGACTACTAATCCTAAAAGATACCCTAAATGCCAAATTCTTTTTTGGATAATGCTATAGATTATGTCCCTAACACTTTAGAGATAAACTGTTAGCACAAGGATATTAAGGGACCAGATAAGTTATGTAGTAAAGAACCCCATGTATCTTCCTAACCCCCATTTCTCCAAATTTTCTAACAAACAATTTTTTCTTGAAATATATTCTAACATACTCCAAAACTTACACATTCCTGAGAATGTTTTGAAAAATCATAAATTATCAGGAACAAAAAGAGAGAAGAAGCAAGACAGAGATACTAATTAAAAGGCTACTTTGAATAATCCAGATGAGAAACTTATGGAATTGAACCAGGATGGCATAGCAATAAGAAAAAAGAGGGGTGAGGAGAGTGATAAGAGACACTGTCAAAGCAACACCAACCAAAAAAACCTTAAATAAGAGAGGGCTGGGGTCATGGCTCAGTGGTAGAGTGCTTGCCTAGCATGTGTGAGGTACTGGGTTCGATTCTCAGCACCACATATAAATAAATAAAATGAAGGTCCATCAACAACTAAAAAAGTATTTAAAAAAACAAAAAGTTATCTCTTAAAGACGAATGAAATGGACGAGTCAAATCTATACCAACTTTTTTATATCATGATCCTGGCACTTAGTGCACAATTAAGAAAGGAAAATAGTTTGTAAAAGGGTGCAAGCAGTGGAGATATAGTATTTTCAGGTGAGAAAAATGAGATGACAACTATATGCAAGAATAAGTATATGGGCCAAGCATGGCAGAGCACATCCATAAACTCAGCAACTCAGGAAGCTGAGGAAGAAGGATTGCAAGTCTGAGGCAAGCCTGGGCAACTTAAACTTAGCCAGACTCCGTATCAAAAAATAAAGTAAAATAAAAAGGGCTGGGGATATAAACCAGTGATAAAGCACCCTTGGGTCCAATCCCCAGTAATTATCATGTAGGAAGAGACTACAAATGATGGGTACATGGCCTCTTTTTTTTTCTTTTTCTTTTTTTCTGGTGTGGTACTAGGGACTGAACCCAAGAGTGCTCTACCACTGAGCTACATTCCTAGCACTTTTTATTTTTTATTTTGAGACAGGGTCTTCCGAGACTCCAGTCCCAAAGCCTGCAGTTTGAGCACACCCGCGACTCCATCTTGGAAAACCTTTCTCGCCATCTTTTGGTGGGCATGGCTACCAGCGCAGATCTGCGACTGAACAGGTGATGTATTGTTGATATTGGGAACTGTCAACATTGTCCTTCCCCACAGAGGAGGGATCTTGGAACTATACAAGAGCACTACAAATCTATAGGGTAAAAACAATAACACACCAGTCCCACAGAGCAGGAAAGAAACTTGAGCAATATGAAAAGATAAGTACCACAAACAATTCAAGACAACACATCATTAGAAGAATTAACAGAAACAGCAGAAAAAATGACAGAGAAAGACTTCAGGATTTACATGATTCAGATGTTTTGGAATCTCAAAGAAAACATTAGACAACAAATACAGACAGTGAAAGATCACTTTGACAATGAGCTACATAAACAAATCCAAGAAGGAAGCAAAAGATCACCTCTATAGGAAGATAGTGGTTATAAAAAAAAATCCTTGAAATGAAAGAAATAATAAAACAAATTAAAAACACAAATGAGAGCATCACCAGCAGACTAGACAACTTAGAAGACAGGACATCATACATCGAAGACAAAGTATATCATTTTGAAAAGAACGTAGACAGCAGAGCGAAAATGATAAGAAACCATGAGCAGAACATCCAAGAAATATGGGATAGCATAAAAAGACCAAATTTAAGAGTTATTGGGATAGAGGAGGACATAAAGATCCAAACCAAAGGAATGAGCAATCTGTTCAATGATATAATATCAGAAAACTTTTCAGACATAAAGAATGAAACAGAAACCCAAATCCAAGAAGCCTACAGGACGCCGAATGTGCAAAATCACAACAGATCCACACCAAGACACATTATAATGAAAATGCCCAACATATAGAATAAGGACAGAATTTTAAAAGCCACAAGAGAAAGGAATCAGATTACATATAGGGGTAAACCAATTAGGACAACGGCAGATTTTTCAACACAGACCCTGAAAGCTAGAAGATCCTGGAACAACATATTTCAAACTTGAAAGATAATGGGTTCCAACTAAGAATCTTGTATCCAGCAAAACTAAGCTTCAGATTTGAAGATGAAATAAAAACCTTCCACAATAAACAAAAGTTAAAAATTTACAGCTAGAAAACTGGCACTACAAAATATCCTTGGCAAAATATTTCATGAAGAGGAAATGAAAACCAACAGAGGGAGGTAGTACACCGAAAGAAAAACTACTCAAAGAGGAAAACCATGTCAAGTTAAATAACAAAAATAAACAAATATGGCTGGAAATACAAACCATGTCTCAATAGTAACCCTAAATGTTAATGGCTTAAACTCACCAATCAAAAAACATAGGCTAGCAGACTGGATTTAAAAAAGATCCAACAATATGCTGCTTACAGGAGACTTATTTGATAGGAAAAAACATACACAGACTGAAGGTGAAAGGTTGGGAAAAATCATACCACTCACATGGACTGCAGAAGCAAGCAGGGGTCTCCATACTCATCAAATAAAGTAGACTTCAAGTCAAAGTTAATCAAAAGGGATAAAGATGGACATTACATACTGCTCAAGGGAACCATACACCAATAAGACATAACAATCATAAATATATATGCCCCAAACAATGGTGCAGCTATGTTCACTAAACAAACTCTTCTCAAGTTCAAGAATCAAATTGACCACAACACAATAATCTTGGGTGACTTTAACATACCTATCTCACTACTGGACAGATCTTCCAAAAAAAAGTTGAATAAAGAAACTACAGAGCTCAATAACACAATTAATAACTTAGACTTAACTGACATATATAGAATATATCAACCAGCATCAAGCGGATACACTTTCTTCTCAGCAGCACATGGATCCTTCTCAAAAATCGACCATATACTATGCCACAGGGCAACTCTTAGCAAATACAAAGGAGTAGAGATACTACCATGCATTTTATCAGATCATAATGGAATGAAATTAGAAATCAACGACAAAATAAAGAATAAAAAATTCTGCATCACATGGAGACTGAACAATATGCTACTGAATGAACAATGGGTTACAGAAGACATAAGGGAGGAGATTAAAAAAATTCTTAGAGGTAAATGAGAACACAGACATAACATATGAAATCTCTGGGACACTATGAAAGCAGTAGTAAGGAAAATTCACTGCATGGAGTTCATTCCCTAAAAGAAGAAAAAGTCAACAAATAAATGACCTCACACTACATATCAAAGCCCTAGAAAAAAAAAAGAATAAATCAACAGCAAAAGCAGTAGGAGGCAAGAAATAATTAAAATCAAGAGCTGAAATCAATGAAATTAAAACAAAAGAAACAATTGGAAAAAATAGACAAAACACAAATAAAATTGAGATAGGGTCTTCCTAAATTAATAATATTGACTTTGAATCTCTGATTCTTCTGCCTTAGTCTCCCAAGTGGCTGGGATTACAAACATGCAACACTGCACCTAGCTTATGTTGCCTCTTTCAAAGTAACAATTCCTGTGTTTTCATAAAATAGGAGGAAACATTACAAGTTAAAAACTAAAACCTCAAGTTAATACTTTAAAGAGAGTTAAAATCCTAATGGACAAAGGTGGGCAAAGTGGTTCATGCCTATAATTCTGTTGACTCAAGAGGTTGCAGCAGGAGGATCACAAATTCAAGGCCAACCTCAGCAACTTATTGAGATCCTGTCTCAAAATAAAAAATAAAAAACAGGTTGGGGATGTAGCTCAGTGGTTAAGTGCCTCTGGATTCAATGCTCAGTGCCAAAACAAAAACAAAAACAAATCCTAATGGATGACAATTCCTTGAAAAGTAAGTAGCAAAAAAGGGGAAACAAAAGATCAAAGGTTGAACCCTGCAAACACTAGCAGCTGAAGAGATAAGAAAAGAGATAATTTGAGGAAAATGATAGGCAAGGTGATCAAAGAGTCTGGAGAAAAGAGTAGAGCAAATGTTAGGAAAAACATGTATCTCAAGATAATACATAATGCAATGAAATGGCAGAAGTACCTGGAGCAAAGCTTAAGAGGAAGGTAAATTTAAAGGAAAAGAGTCTATAGAGAAATTTGATGCAAGTGTCACAAATAATATGATAGAGGATCAGGAAATGTGATATGTATTCAATTTATCATAAAAAATAAAAAATAACGCACCATCAAAACTCAGGTTAGCTGGGCACAGCAGTGCCATGCCTATAATCCCAGAGACCTGGAAGGCTGAAACAGGAGGAACCCAAGTTTGAGGCCATGCTCAGCACCTTAGGCCCTAGGCAACTTCGTGAAACCCTGTCCCAAAATAAAAAATAAAAAGAGCTAGGGACATAGCTCAGTGGCAAAGGATCACTGGGTTCAATCCCTAGTACCCAAACAAACACACACAAAAACAAAAAACCTCAGGTTAAATGTGAAATGTGAGAAGATGAGTCTCAACCCAATACCCAATATATTTAAATTTCAAAATTAAGACTCTCATAAAAAGAAAAGGAATTCATTTTTTTTAAAGAAGTACAATAAAATCAAATTTTAAGAACAAAGTTATAAAGTGGGAATATTTTAAAGTAGGAATATTAATTACCAAGCAAACTGTCATACATCTTCAAAAAAGTAAAGTTTTGTAAAAATCAACTTGTATATTGTGTTTTTCTTATTTCTATCATAGGTAATTCAAACAACTAGAAAAAAGAAATCCAGCCATTTAGTTCTCTAAGCTAACGTAAATTCTTAAAATAATGAGCTTTGAATATTTTGTGGTAATATTTTTACTATGTCAGCTTTATATTTTGATTCATTGATATTTTCCCATATATGCCTATTAAAAAAAGTGAAACTATCAGTTTTATTTTTCAGATCCAAATTACTATATCATTTTCCCTTAGCTTAAACCTATACTCAATCCTCTCAAGATCCTTCAAATCTTACAATATATATTATTCATCATTTGAAATAAATTTGGATATACAAACTTCTTAATTTTTTGATTGAACAAACTTCCCAAATTGAAGTGTTACTTTCAAAAAAACTTGATTTCATTCAAAGGAAAACAAGTTTCTATTGTTAAGCATCTCAGGTATGTCAAAAAATAAAATGTCTGTACAACATACCAGTTTTTTTGTTTTTGTTTTTGTTTTGGCTATCAAATATCTATCCTTCTAAAAAAAGGAGATCTCAAATTAGTATCCTACACTAAGTGAACTTGAAAGAATAAGTGATGTATACAAGGAAATAAACTTTGATCCATACCTTGCTCCACATAAGAAACTAAACTGAAATAAGTCAAATTCCTTAATATGAAAGCTAAAACTATAAAACTTCTAGAAAACATTGGAGAAAATCTTTGTGACTTTGGGTTAGGCAAAGATTGGGGTTTTGGGGGTTGGTTTTTTAGATACAACCAAACGTCCAACCCATAAAAGAAAAACAAAGGTAAACTTCATAAAAATGAACAATGCCTCTTCTTCAAAAAGATACTATTAAGAAAATAAAAGGTCAAAGTACAGACCAAAGGAAAATGTTTTCAAATCACATATCTGACATAGAATGTGTATCTGGAATATATAAAGAACTCTGAAAAATTCAATAATAAAACACCCTAATTATAAATTCAGCAAAAGATACATACATGCAAATAAGTATACTTAAAAATGATAAACATCGTTATACATTAGGGAAATGAAAATTAAAATCACAATGAAATACCACTACAAACCTATCAAAATGTCTAAAGTTAAAAAAACTAACCATACCAAGTATCAGTGAGGATGTAAGGCAAGTGGAACTCTCATACACTGCTGGTGGAAATGTAAAATAGTACTATCACTTTACGGTTTGGCAGTTTTTTGGAAAAAAAAATTAAAACATACACATACTACGTGACTCAACCATTCCACTCTTACTATTTGTCCAAGAGAAATGAAAGCATATATCTATACAAAATCTTGCACCCAGATGTCTAGAGCAGTTTAAAACATTAACAGCCAAAATCTGGAAACAATCCAAATGGATATTCACAAGTGAATGAATTACCTCCGTGGTACATCCACTCAGTGAAAAACTACTCAGCTATATACATATATATGCAACAACATGAATGAATTGCAGAGGAATTAGGCAGAGTGAGAGAAGCTAGATAAATGGGCACCATGGCATATGCCTATAGTCCCTGTTACTCGGAAGCCTGAGGTTGGAGGATCATTTGCAACAATGAGTTCTAGACCAGTATAGGAAACATATTGAGACCCTATTTCAAAAAAAACAAAAAAAAAAAAACACAAGACAAAACCACAAATTGTAGGAATTGTGTGATTTAATTTAAGTTAAACTCTAATAAAAACCTAAAGAAAGTAGATTAGTGGGTTTGGGGTAGGATGGCATGAGGCAAGAGAAAAGGAACACAAAGGGACATGAGGAAACTTTTAGAGGTGATAGATACATTCACAATCTTTTTTTAAAATATTTTTTTAGTTGTAGATAGACATAATATCTTTATTTCACTTTTATATTGTGCTGAGGATCAAACCCAGTGTCTTCCACATGCAAGGCGAACACTCTATCCTACCACTAAGCTACAACTCCAGCCCTATATTCATGATATTGACAGTGGCAACAGTCTCTTGGGCATAGAGAGAATCAAACTTTATCAAATTGTATATATTAAACATGTAACTTACTGCATATTAATTACACCTCAACAGAACAGTTTTTAAAGTGGGGATAGAATATCAGGCAAAGAGGAAAGAGTGACATTACAAAAGCAGGAGGGAGAGCTGGGATGCAGCTCAGTGATTGAGCACTTCCGTAGCATGTACAAGGCCCTGAATTTGTTCCCAACACTAAAAGGGCAGGGGGAGGAGACAGCATAGCAGACGCTAGCTATTTAGGAAAGATTACGGAGAATGGGCCAATATGAGGCTGATGATACATATTTTTCTCATTTATTTCAATGTTTCAAATGTTTAATTTATTCTAAGCATTCAAAATCTTAATCCTTGTCAAGCATGGTGGCACATGCTTGTAGTTCTATATACTCAGTAAGCTGAGGCAAGAGGATCCCAACTTTAAGGTCAACCTGCACAATATAGTATAAGATCCTGTCTTAAAATAAAATTTCTAGAAAAGGCTGAATGTAACTCTGTGGTAGAACACTTACCTAGCATGCAAGAGGCCCTCATTTCAATCACCAGTATTGGGGGGTTGGGGGGAGGATAGGCGACGAACCCTTGGTTTTTCAGTCTTCCCTATTCATTAAATTACTAAATTACTTACAAGGAGGAAAGATAGATTAATGTAATCACTAAAAATGTAACTTTTATCAAATGTAAGGCTAGAGGAAAAAGAATGAATTTTCTTGTTTAAAAAAATAACACTATATGTGGGATTTTGCTGGGGCATAACTAGGCATGAACCCAGGGGTGCTTTATCAATGAACTATACTCCCAATCCTTTTTAAAATTTTGAGACATGGTCTCACTAACTTGCCCAGGCTGACCTTGAACTGTGATCCTCCTACCTTAGCCTCATGAATAGTTGGGATTACAGGCATGTACCACCACAGTCAGCTTAGAAAATTTAAAAAGATAAATACATACCTAAGGAATTCAACCTGATAGAATTCTAATTTTAAAAAGTTAGAGATGATAAAAATATAAAACTTTCAAAATTAGTGACTTCTGTGTTCAACACCTAAAGGGAACTCTTTTCATAGGTTCAGTTTTTTTCTTATTCCATAAGTAATATCAAATACAAGAGATGTAGAAAAAAAGAAAAACTATAAGGGATGTGTTCAGGAAACTCACCATTTGTACAACAGATTCCCTTAAACGTGTTTCTTCTTCAGTCATAAGAGTCAATTCTTTGCAGACCATAGCAGCCAGCCCCACATCTAAGCATTCTGGATCTGCTGCCATCTTGAAAATGAGCTCCTCATGTGAAAAGACACAATGACGCCTTAGCCGGCGGTAATGATTTACACACTGACGTCCAATAGGCAACTAAAAACAAGAGATTTCCAAATTAATTACTTACTTACAACATATTCCAGTATGGAACCATTACTTATCCTTCAAATCTTCCTTTTTAACATAAAAAAGACAGAATAAAAATCCCATCTAAGAGGGGATTATAAATAAGCATGCTATGAACCAGTTAGAATTTCAAAGGCCCATCCCACAGAAAATTTCCATAATTTGAGATGCTAAACTTTGGATCTAACATGCTAATTTTCTTCTTATTGTGTACATCAAGAAGCAGGGTTCCAAACAACAGTAAGTGTTAGCGAGGATATGAGGATATGAGGATATGAAAAGGCACACTCATACACTGCTGGTGGGAATGTAAATGGGTACAACCAATCTGGAAAGCAGTACAGAGGTTCCTTAGAAAACTTGGAATGGAACCACCATTAGACCCTGCTATCCCACTCTTCTTAAAAACAGCATACTACAGTGACGCAGTCACTTCAATGTTTATAGCTGTACAATTCACCATAGTTAAACTGAAGAACCAACCTAGATGTTCTTCAATAGATGAATGGATAAAGAAACTGTAGTATATATACACAATATATCACTCAGCATAAAAAGAGAATAAGATTATGGCTTTTGCAGGTAAATGGATGAAGTTGGAGAATATCATGCTAAGCGAAGTAAGCCAATCCCAAAAAACCAAAGGCCAAATGTTTTCTCTGGTAAGTGGATGCTGATCCACAATGGGGGGTGTACAGGGGTGGGGGGAACTTTGGGCCAAGGGGAGGGAGGGAAATGGAGGGGGTATGTGGGTAAGAAAGATTGTAGAATGAGACAAACATCATTACCCTAGGTACATGTATGACTGCACACGTGGTGTGATTCTACATCGTGTTCAACCAGAAAAATAAAAAGTTGTGCTCCATTTGTGTGTAATGAATTGAAAAGCTTTCTGCTGTCATATATAACTGATTAGAACTAATAAAAAATAAAGTTAAAAAAAGAAGCAGGGTTCCTTGGCATATAAATGAAGCAGCAAACTCTATTAGACCAGTATAACATGGCTACTCTGATAAGAAAATTAAAGTATTGTAAAAATAAGTAAAGAATTGTAAAATTTCAGGCCATAAAGGATTAGATGCCCTAGAACAAAAGAACAGATGCAATTAGAAGAGAAAAAGAGAAATGGAAAGAAAAAGGGGGTAAGTACTACTAAAGCATTCCACACTAACTTTTTATATTTTTGTAAGAAAAAAAACCAAAAAACGATAGTTTAAATTTTTGCATTTCTAGAAATCCTTTTAAAAACGACCAGCCTAGCAGAAGGAAAATTCAAGAAAGTGAAATAATGAGATTAAATACTTTGTTTCCATAATAATGAAATAAATGGCTAAAAGAACAATTTTCATAAATCAAATACTAAGTTTATAGCTCAGCAGAAAAGCGTGGCCTTAACATGCTGGAGGATCTGGGTTAGAACCCCAGCACCACAAAACAAAGAAGCACAACAACAAAAAATACACTCTTTAAGGTAATTTCTGCAAATTTCTACAATGATCAAGCTATAAATCAAATTATGATACGAGCCACACACTGCACCATGCACCTGTGTACCCACTCTAACTTCAACTTCTTTCTTATGGCTAAAAATTGTTCTGTTTATATTTTAAAACTATAATATAAAAGAAAGAAAATAAGAAAAAGAACCTTTAAAAACCTTTTCAAATTCACCTCCTTTTTGAGAAAGGCAGAGACGAATCAGGGAACTCAAAGAGCATGAGGTTATCTCTGAATCAGGCATGCTTTTCAAAGAAACGATCACTTCCAAAAATATGTATTTTTAATGTATGATTAGGAGTCATATTGTCTATTAAAAACAACTCTTTCATGTCTTCATTCTTAAATGTTTACTTTTTAAACATTTCTCACACAGCTAAAATACGAGAGCAAATAGGGAAAAAAACAAACTATGAAGACTGGGGATGTAGCTCAGTGGTAGAGTGCTTGCCTACCATGCATAAGGCCTTGGGCTCAATCCCCAGTACAGAAAAAAACAAAAATTAAAACTGGAGATTTCAGTTCTTAATTATTATAAGGAATTCACATAAAATAGAATTGCAGCTTATAAAAATTAGTCTCACTGCCTTATTCCAGAGATAAAGCTATTTTAACTTTTCATTATATCACTATCTTCTTCTAAAGAGTATCAAGGACCCTCACCCACAACATTTGACCTGCTTGAGATTATTCAATGAATTTATTAGCACATTACATATCAGGTAAAAAACTTAGGCCTAGTGAAATTAAGAGCTACTCAAGATCAAATTCAGTTACAGTAAGCATGTTAAAGGCAGAAACAATCCCTAACTCTTAAATCATCCTGCTTCCTACCATACACCTAGCCAAGTACCAGGTGAATAAAAAACAGGCAATAAATATTAGCTGAATTTTTTAAAATAAAGCTCAAGCTCAAGGTAAAACCTAAACTTAGTCTTGTTCATGCTAAATTATGCTGTTTCCAAAGCACAAAAAGAAGTTTAAAATTACTGAACTTAAATACAACTGTTCACAAGGTAGGCATGATGTACACACGTACAGTCCTAGGTACTCTGGAGGCTGAAGCTAGATTGAGCCCAGAAATTGAGGACAATCTGGGCAACAGAGCAAGACCCTGTCTCAAAACCAAATTAAAGCCAGGCATGGTGTCGCACACCTGTAATCCCAGCAGCCAAGGTGCTAAGCAACTCAGTGAGACCCTGTCTCTAAATATAATACAAAAAAGGGCTGGGGATATGGCTCAGTGATTGAATGCCCTGAGCACAATTCCCAGTACCCTCTACCCACAAAAAGGAAAGAAATTAAAATAAATAAGACAAGACTGCTCTTATTTCATCTTATTCATTAGCCAAGAAAACAAAAATTCTCTATGGTTAATCATGTAATTTAATAAATTAAGGTACCTACAGAAAATATAAGATCCACTATTACTTAATAATTTTCCCCATAACATTGAAAGGCATCAAAAACAGCATTACTAAAAGAAAAATGAAGTCAGGGAGTGAATATTATAAATATGCAGTCTTTTCCCAATTGATATAATGTAACCATAACTAATTATGTTTTGATATCTATCTCATACAAAAGCAGAGCAACAATCACTGACATTGTCCTTTACTCATTTTAAGATTCCAAAGTGCTCAGATAAAGCAAAGTCTAAAGGAACCATATACTCCCTCAAAAAGGGCTCAGACTGTCCATTTAAAGTTCAACAGAATGGGGGAAAATAGTGAACAGAGGAGAAGTAAAAAATCATAAAATCTTCCAAATAATGTGATAGACTCTCTACTTTTAACTTTCTAAATTACAAGAGCCACTACAGTTTCTATTGAAATATTCATAGACCTTACTCAGAACCCAGTTAAGCAAATATGACAACTAAGCTACATTTTATAGGGGTGTTAGTGGACGTACAACAGCCACTTGCTATAGAACAGACCCAGTCAGCAGTACAGAAGTTCACAGCTTCAGCAAAGTTGTAGCCCTGGTTAAATCCAGAGTGATAGGCACGAGGAAATGTCACAACAAACTCGCCAGCACACTGATTGGTCCTGTACACCTAAATGCAAATTGAGAACAGGAATACAAAAATGAAAAAAAATAAAAAAATAAATAAAACAACAAAAAGAAGACAGATTTTATCAGTCACATAGATCCAGAAGCACTTTCTAACCTAAAAATAATAAAGCATTATCTTAAGGCATATCAGAAATAAAATTAGAGTTTAAGAAAGAACTAGAATTCTACCTTCTTAAAACAGTCACTGATAATACATTATAATTTATAACAATTAGCAACCAAAAGAAACTGAAAATGTTACTCACTGAATGACTAGTCTTCTAACATAATAATTTTTTTATAATTAATAGAAATTTTTTTATTCATCTATTATAAATACCATGAAAGCATGAAATTTTCTACTACCTTGAGATAAGTTTTGGGAAACTGATTAACTTATACATTATAAAATAAGCCCCAAATTAGTCTTCCTGAATCTTACTGTTTTACAATACTATGGGTATCTTGAAAAGTTACAGATTCAATTAGAAATTTACTCTTTAGGGACAAAGTAACACTATAAATGTTAGTCTACTTTTCTCATTAAAGTTATAACAAATATTTAATTTTATGTAACTAACATTTAATTTATATTTTTTCAGGTTTTAGTAAGTTGATAATCATTTTTCAAAACAAGTTTAAAGGAGAAAAACTATTTAGAATATATTTTTATTTCATTATCTCACGTATTAAAAACTGTTAAATCTTTACATAATAGCGCTGGGGTTGTTGCTCAGCAGTAGAGTGTTAGCCTAGTGCATACAAGGCCCTGGGTTCAATCCTTAGCACCACATAAAAAATAAATTAATTAATTAAAAAGGTATTGACAACTACATCTAAAAAATAAATATTTAAAAAAATCTTTATATAAAAAAAAAAACAAGGATAAGAATTAGTCACTAGAGCTAACACTTCAAATACCTATATCCTAGTTAAACAGGGATAATAAGAAAAAATAAGATTTTTGTTCAAACCAGGAAAAAATGGTTTGCTGAAACAGAAGGCTGTTTGAATAAGTAGCTATATATAAAGTATGATTCATATCTTAAAATTTTCCTACTGGGTTGAAGATGAAGTTCAGTGGTGGCCTAGCACATGAGGCCTTAGGTTCAATCCCAAGCACCACAAAAAAATAAAAAATAAAAATAAAACATATTCCTTCTTACTCAAATAAGTTGTTCCCTAATTTAGCTAGAAAACAACAGAATCTTTCACTTCCAGGTACAAAACAAATGTGATTCTATCCAATCAAGAGCTAAAATAACTTTAAAAATACTGAAGGGAGATACAAAAACTCACAGGTACACCATGCTCCATTAGCACATTGGGGTTCATGATGGTGACTAACTGATGTAGGAGATCAGGCTGGGATTCAAATAACTCAGGTGCCAACTCCCTCATCACCTCCTCTAGTTGTTCTGCAGCATGAGATGGCACACCATACCATGTCTTTGGCTCCCCCCTAGCAAATGAAATAACTTGTTAGCCAGGTAGAGCATAGCTCTCAGGAAGTCAGGGCCTCTGAATCAACCCACTAAATTATAATCAACTATGTCTCATTCCATGGCCAGATTAAAGCCCTGAATCCTGACAAGCACCTCACAAATATGTTCTATTATTTGCAATAGGAAGTAGTGCAAGTATATGAATAGGCAGGTGCACTACCTCCTATCACCACTATTATAGGAACAACTCTAAGTACATGAACTGTTCAAGGGAGATCGGTAATAGTATCTTTGAACAGGAAAGACACTACATGAAAACCACTGTTGATACTGACGAGCTATCTCAAATCACTAGTCCACTGTACATTCCTATTCTCCCCACAATGATCAAAATAAAAAGTCAATGGCTTCTAGAATACCTATAAGTTTAATTTATTTCTAGGTATTTCTTTAATTTTGTTGTCCAAAGAAAAAGCCAAGATTAGAAATTGTTGAAACCTTGAATATAGTTGTCCATAATTCTTATGGACCAAAAACTTGGCATCACTGAAACCCTAGACCACTACTCTCCCCCATAAAACTTACTGAGATGATAAAAATATTTTGTTTGTGATAGCCAATACAGTGACCCCTAGTCATATGATCATAGAGCACAAAAAAGTAGCTACTGCAATTAAGAAAATAAATTCTTAATTTTACTTACTCTTAATTAATTTAATCATAGAGCACAAAAAAGTAGCTACTGCAATTAAGAAAATAAATTCTTAATTTTACTTACTCTTAATTAATTTAAGTAGCCACATGTGGCCAGCAGTTATCACACTATACAGCACAGAAATGGAATAAGAAAATCACTAGTTTTCCACTGTATTCTGTGATCTAAGTACTATCTTCTAAGTGAAGACAAAAATATCACATAGTTAAGATATCAAAATAGTAGGTAAGAAACTAGGTAAATAAATAAAAGCTGTGAGATACAAAAAAAATTCATCAAATCAATTGAATGACTGCACATGTAACTTGGGCAATTTGAAGGAAAATGTTACTGTAAAGAAAACCATTATTTGAATATTTCAACTACTAAAGGTTAGTCATATCTTCAAATTATATTTGAACTTTATATTTGAGCTTTTAAACACCATATTTTGCCTATCAAGATATACTAAAACTGGGTTGGTGATATAGCTCAGAGATATGGGACTTGCCTAGCATGTACTAGGTCCTGGGTTTGATCTCCAGCACCATCAAAAAAAAAAAAAAAAAAAAAGATATCAGTAATTTTCATGTATACCAAATAACCATCATTTCAGCTACAACTTTAGATTAAACTATGTGCACATACTTTACAAGGGAACAACCTGAGGCACCTCCCCTTTCCTCCCCAATATGCTATCCTACTTTTGGATAGAAAATACTTTCGAAGTGAGTTTTCCCTAATATATTAACTACTATTATTAAATCTTTAAAAAATAATAATTATCAGGGCTTGAGATATAGTTGAATGGTAGAACATGTGCTCAGCTTGTGCAAGGCCCTGGATTTGATCCCTAGCACATTCCTGCCTCAAAAAAAAAAAAAATCACTAAGTACATATGCTATACTGAAGACCATACATACCAGTGCAAGTAGTTAATGGAATAACTCCAATGATCTTCAATGTGCCAGCAAAAAGAAGAGAAACACATTCCTACATAGAGCCATGGCACCTTCATACCAGAAATGTCCACATTAATATGTGCAAGAACAGATTGCTCCAGGACGGGCATGTTATTCAAATTCCAACCACAAAGTGCATATTCCTTAAAAAAGAAAAAAGTTAAATGAAAAATCAGAAATGACAAAAGCTCAATAGAAATCTCAAGAGAATCTTTCCAAGAGAAAGTATTTTATAATATCTACCAAAAAATCTATGCTGTTATCTAATACCTGTAATTAATCTAGCTATATATTTAATCCTGTCTCCTTTTTAGGTACTATTTAGATTTCCCTTTATTTCAGATACCTTGTTTAAAAATATGAGTAAAGATTCAGTCTGCCATTAAAATAGTGTAAGATCCATTTTTATAGATCACTACTATATTTCTACTTCATCTCCAGCAACATAAGTTCCCAAATGTTTATATTATATGTATTGAATGATGCTAGATACAGTGTGAAGACAAAACATAAGATACATAATCATGAATTTGTGACAAAAACTGAAGGCCAATATGATGTAGAAAGTCACCACCATCATCCGTCACTATAGACTCATCTATAAATATTAGATGAATTATAACATTAATAAAGAAACTTGATTCATGGTTAAATTAGAAAAAAAAAAAAAAAGGGGGTGGGGGAATTCCTAGTTTTAAAACCAGGTGAAACAATGCCAGAATGGAAAAGAAAGCTACTTTCAGAGTTTCTTGGGGTTTCTAATGGGACATAAATGCATAACTGAGTTTCAAACACTAACCCCTGCAAATAGAGACTTAGAGTGCTTATCAACCTTATGCTGAGCAATTCTCAACAGTGAGGATGACAGGATCCATGAAGTCAAAGCATTTTCATAATAATTATAAAATGATATTTGCTTTTTTCACTAAAATCCTTACAGCAATGTGTGAGCTTTCCAGAGAAAGCATGGTATGTGACAAAATATTGAATGCAAAGGCAGAGATGAGATGATGTTGTTGTTATTATTGAGGCACTTTATCCTCTGACCTTTTCTTTTTATTTTGAGACAGGGTCTCACTAAAACTCTTAAATTAAATAGCCAATGAAAAAGCTAAAGAGAGAATTTGTTAATGAGAAAACAAGATTTGAGGAAATGACTCATAATACAGCACAAAGAAACTACAAAGTGTAGTTAAGAGTCATGAAGGACAGAATAATCAAGTTAACTAGGAACTCCAATAAGAAATAACAAGTCAGGCATGGTGGCACACACCTGTAATCCCAGTGGCTTGGGAGGCTGAGGCAGGAGGATTGCAAGCCCAAAGCCAGCCTCACAACAGCAAGGCACTAAGCAACTCAATCTCTAAATAAAATACAAAATAGGACAGGGGATGTGGCTCAGTGGTCAAGTGCCCATGAGTAAAAAAAAAAAAGAAAAGGAACAACAAGGATCCCCCAACTTCGCCCTCCTTCAGCAGGAAGCATAGAAATGGAATGTAGAAAATTGGCAGTGGGGAAATGTAACAGTCCACTTTATGCTTTGAATATAGCTCTTGCTGCTACACAAAAATAAAAATATAACAGGGAGATACAATTTCTACCCAATAGGCTAAAATTAGGAAGAAGAAAAAAATAATGAAAGATAAAAGGATTAACAGATACTATTCGACTACTCGATTTCTTTTTTTTTTGGGGGGGGGGGGTTGGTTAGTTAGACACCTGGTTGGCTAAAAAAAATAATCTAGTTAAAGATATGAGGTCTACATATAAAAAAGTTACAGGTCAAGGCAATATATATTAAATTCCAAATGTAGACATAAGGGTAAATTATATAGCTCTTCGGGGGACAATAAAATACTAGTCATCATGAATTTGAATTACTAAGAAAACATCACGGAAAAGGAAGAACCTGAGTTGAGCTTTCAAGGATAGCTAAGATATAGATAGAGATTAAAGTGATAGGATTAAAGCGATTGTTCAGTGATACAGCACATGTTAATCATGTACGAGTCCCTGGGTTCAAGCCATGGCACCAAAGACAACAAAAAAGATTTCAAGAAAGATTCTAGGAGGCAGAGCTACAGGAATGTAAAAGTAAATTACAGAGAGAGAGAATATACTAATCTGGCTGGTGAAGGGGCAAAGTGAAAGACTAATACTTAGAAATATAGAAAATAAGACTAGAAAGAAGGATTGATCTTAAATTTTGGACTAAAAAGCTCAGATTTCATCCTTTACTCAGTAGGAAAATTTCAAACATAAACAAAAGTAGAGTTCCATGGTAAATTCCCAACAGTCTACTACACTAATATAGAACTTTTCCTAAAAGATTAAAAAATGGCTCACAGTGCCCAGACTGTTTGTACAATATGGTTTATGCAGCATGCTGGCATTTCTTCCTTCTGGTAATCTGTAATTTCGGCACATGCTTGGCAAAGAAAGGGTGCTTATGTCACTAGCTACCAATAAAAACCTTGGGCACTAAGTCTCTAATGATTTTTCTTGGTAGAAAATACTTCACATTTGTTGCCACATTTTGATTCTGGAGTGATTAAACACTTTTTGGGGGGAGAGAAGGGGCAGTTCTAAGACTTGCATCCAGGGCCTCATATGCTAGATAAGTGTTCTATAACTGAACTACATCCCCAGCTTTTTAATTTCATTTTGAGACAGTCATGCAAATTAACCCAGGCTGGCCTTGAACTTGAGATCCTCTTAGCTCCTGCATTAGCCTCCTGAGTAGCTGGGATTGTAAGTGTGTACTAACATACCCAGCCTAAGTACATTCTTCCCACCCCCATGTACTGGGGATTGAACTCAGGGCACTCTACTACTGAGTTACACCCCTGACCCTTTTTATTTTGAGACAGGTTCTTGATAAGAAGCTAAAGCTGGCCTCGGACTTGCAATCCTTCTGCCTCAGCCTCCCAAGTAAACAGGATTACAGGTGTGCATCACTGCATCCAGCAGTACATTCTTTCAACAAGAGATAAAATTCTTAAATTACTACCAATTATAAAGGGAAAGAAAAAGTGGCAAGGACCAAAATAAAGAAAAATGAATGATCACCTCAATTCAGTTTTACATATCTCTGTGACAGGACTTCCCTATATATTACAATTTAAATATCTAGATTGAAAACCAACTTGCCTGGATATAGAAAGAAACATTTCAGGACCCATCAATAAATGTAATTTTTTAAAAATTATAAATAACTTTCTAGTTTTTACAACAGAAAAAGCTAGGCAAATTTTCAGCACAGTTAAAGCTTTAAGCTAATTATTTTGAAATGAAGAATTATAGTTTTTAAAGATATTTTAAATTCATTGTTTTTAAAACTATGATTAACATTCAAAAATAAATAATAAAAAAATATAAATCCCACATACTTAATATTTTTAAAGAATATGTCCCTTAAAATTAGAGAAGGGGTGGGGCTTGGGGGCAGGAAAGATGACGGAACAAGATGGCCATCCATTACCTCAGGTACATGTATGACTGCACATATGGTGTGATGCTACATCATGTACATTCAGAGAAAAAGTTGTGCTCCATTTATGTACAATGAATTAAAATGCATTCATATACACCTAATTAGAACAAATAAATCCAAAGAAAGAAAGAGTTGTCCCAGAAGGCTGGGGAAATTCATGGATACTTTGATTTTACCTTTAAAAAAAAAATTAAAGAAGAGTAGTTTTCTATGAAAAAACTAAATCAGTTTGGGGCAAAGCACAAGTTTAGACAATACTATTTATACCTCTTCTTCTGGTAACATCTTTCTCCGACCATCCTTCACAGGAAATCCACTTCCAAAGTCTTTTGAGGAGATATCAGCCCCATACTCTACAATAACATCTTCTTCAATGCTGCTGACCAGACGCCAGAATTCCTTTTCTACTAGTTCTGTAGGAACCATCTACAAAAGAAAACAAAGTTAAAAGATTATTAACCCACTGTAACTATAAATCTACTATAACATAATACACAGGCCAAGTGAACACAAACTCATAACTAAAACTTTCTCATTTCCCAAAACAGGAATGACTAGGGTCTTAGCTTTTCCCACAAAGAATGGGGAACTAAGAATAGGGAAAAGTTAAGAAAATTTGGATAGTCAGAAAAAAACATAATGAACTTGAACAGTTTTTTTCTGAAAGAAGCTACTTCCCAAGAAAGATGAAATTGAACTAGGACATCGAGTAGGAAGAAGGAAATGAAAATGACAACAAAACTGAATTTTAACAACTTCGGCAAAATGTTTTGATAGAAACTAAAAAACCCAAGATCCTCCAGGAAAAGCAGCAAACCCCATAATACAAGTAACTAAACAAAAGCAGCAATAACCAAATTGCTTCATATTTTTTGTAAAGAATTTTTCACATGCACATTAAAACAGATTTCTTACTAGAAGATGACAAACTGCCACATTAAGAGTTAAAAGTGCTGGGGTTATGGCTCAGTGGTAACACGCTTGCCTAGCATGCGTGAGGCAATGGGTTCGATACTCAGCACCACATACAAATAAATAAAATAAAGGTCTATCAACAACTAAAAAAAAAAATATATTAAAAAAATTAAAATAAACAGAATAGATGACAGGTCCCTAATTTCTCAAGATTTAGTGTTATCTCATCTTTTTTATTCTGCCCATTTCCCACACAATCTTAAAAGTAAAAAGCAAACCAAAAGCTTTAGACTCAGATAAATCTTTGTATCTCTCCAAACTAACCTACTGTTGCTACTCACATGGACTGGCATATTAAAATAATCAGACTTAAAATTATCTGCCATCTCTCCAAAGCTCTGAAGTGTATATTCTCGTACAGCTTGTTCAAATCCAAAGGCTTCTCGAGGTTTGTTACATTCCTGAAAAGGAAACAAAAATATATAAGATTAATTCACTGAACCTCAACTGGAGAAAATATTAAAAACTCATAGATAGGGAAATGATCAAGGAAGGTAGTACCTAAATGAAACATATCCAATTAATCCTAGCCAGCAAAGCAAGTATCAGTTACTTGCAATTGGTATCATAAAATAATATTCTGGAACCTCAACTACATTTTCACAATCTTTCAGCAGGAAGGTGGTAATGAGATAGCTTTAGACTCTGAAGTTGGTGTTATCCTCTGCTACCACAACAAGCACCTGGGACTAACAACTTGGAATCAAGCCCAGGAATGCCTATCATTTTTTAAAGTATATATTTTTAGTTGTAGATGGACACAGTACCTTTATTTTATTTATATACAGTACTAAGAATCGAACCCAGTGCTTTACACATGCTAGGCAAGTGCTCTACCACTGAGCCACAAACCCTAGGCCCTGCCTATCATTCTTAGGATTCAGTGGATCTGGCCATGGAGAAGATAAATATTCATAGAAGAAGGAAAAGTTATGGACAATGAAATAACCAATAAGTAGTTAGGATATCTGGCTAGGAGAATGATTTGTTCATAATATCAATCACCGTAACAAAACTTAAATATTTATAGTAAAAATGCCATAGAATAGACATTATGATTGATGTATGTATATAGGTGACTCTATGACCAGTGTGATTCTGCAATCTATACAATTAGAAAAATTATACCCCAATGATACAAATGTATGAATTGCCAAGATCATTGTGATGTCATGTGTAGATAATTAAAAAAAAAGTAAAAATGCCTCTGAGTCTATTAACCTTGAACATAGTAACAAATAAATAATAATTCAAAGGCTATAAAAGATCTTTGAAGGGCTGGGGATGTGGCTCAAGCAGTAGTGTGCTCGCCTGGCATGCGTGCGGCCCGGGTTCAATCCTCAGCACCACATACAAACAATGATGTTGTGTCCGCCAAAAACTGAAAAACAAATATTAAAATTCTCTTTCTCTTCTCTCTCTTTAAAAAAAAAAAAAGATCTTTGAAGTACTTGGATATACCCAGCCAACTCCTCTTTAATGCCCTACCATGACATTTTGTTAAAATAAGTAACAGACTATGTATTTCACAATGACACCATTATTTTTTAATAAGAAAAATTTAGTACAATCAAATCAAAATCTGGACAAATAAAAAGGTATCATTCTTTATTTAACAGCATAAAAAGTGGATGTATGACACCTAAGCTCTAAAATTTCATGAGTAATTACAGTTTTCATTTTTAAAAAAATCCCATAGCTTTTATTCATTTTTATTCCAGCAATATGAATATTCTGAGAAGAAATCTCACTCAACTGTAGCAATAAGTAGGATTACTTAAGGAATAGTCAGAAAAAGAAAATCTGAGAGCAAGCTGCCACAACAAAGCTGTTACATTCCCATTTAACAGAGCTCTTCTCAAAATCGTCAAAAATTTTTTACTGAAGAACAAACAGAGCAGGACAAGCTTTCCAGGAATTTTACATATGTATATATGCATGCATTACTGTTTTTAGTTTAAAAAGGGCCCAAAAAGGTTAGGCTTGTACCTCAGCAACACACTTAGGACACCTCCAGTCTCCTTTGGGTACATCAGGTAGTGGTGGAATTAGACAAAATGTATGATAGCTGTCATCACATCCATCACACAAAAGCAATTTATCCTCATTGTTTCCTCGACCACAAAACATACAAACATAGAGATCAACCTGTTAAAATAAATAAATGAAATAAAAGTCTATTTTCTATAATAAAGAATTCTAATTTTTACCAGGAGCTCCATAGTTAAAACACAATAATGTACTCTAAAAAGTAAATGTAACTTAAGTCCTGCATATCTATTTCAAATTATTTCAATGGCTCTTCATAAAACTTCCTAAATTTCCCTCCAGAGCTTCTATAAACAAATTAATAAAAGCATATCAAGTTATTCAAATAAAAAAACCTACAAATCTAGGATATGTAAAAATTAACTTTTATTTTTTTAAAAATGTCAGTTTTCCTACATATAAATATACTTTGGTAGAGAACAAATATTGAGAACTGCTTGTAATAATACATCTAGGTAATTTACAAGTATTCTTGGTATCTGCCAGGAATTGACTCGAGGATCTACGGCCCCCACCCAGTCCCAGGGATACCAAATTCCACAGATACTCAAGACCCTTCTATAATACAGCTTAGTATTTGCATATCTATGCATATTCTCCCTTATACACTTTATACTTTAATTCCTAGATTACTTATAATACCTAATTACAATATAAATGCTATGTAGTTGTTATACTATATTGTTAGGGAATAATGTTAGGTCTTTTTTGTAAAGATACCTTTTTTTTTGGCGGTACTGGGTATTGAACCCAGTGATGCTCTATCTCTGAACTATGTATGTCCCCAACCCCTTTTTAAATTTTACTTTTGAGAAAGGGTCTCACTAAGTTGTCAGGCTGGCCTCAAATCTTGTGACATTCCTGCCTCAACCTCCCAAATTGTTGGGGTTATAGGCAAGTGAAACCAAGCCTGTCCACAATTTTTTAAAACTATATTCTGAGCTTTGAAACAAAGAATGTGGAACCTGAGGATATAGAGGGCTGACTGCTCACAGATTCACATTTAATTCTCTCACACAGTTACATAGAAAGCATATGATTTAGGGGAAACAGTCTACATACAAAAGACAAAGCAAGGTTAACATTGTATAAACAATAACTGCAACTTTAGATATGCCATCAAGTCTCCTAATCAACAGCAAACCAAGATAAAAAGTGCAAAACTGAAATTAAAATAAATCCTTTCCCTCCTGACACATCCCAAAGCACTTACAAAGTTAACAGAGAGAGTTCCTTTCCGTTGTCTCATTTGCATGTTAAATGCGTCTGACCTGTTGGTAACTTTTCTTCTTCGGGTGACCTCATCTTGAAATAAAAAGTTATATGATAATAGTAAAAACTAATGTTGAGAGCTTACTATGGACCAGACACTATTTAAAATTATTTAAATTAGTAAAAAAAATCTCAAAACACTATGAGGTAGATATCATCTCTGGTTGAAGATAAAGAACCTAAGGTATAGAGAAGTTAGATAACTTGCTCAGAATCACATAGCCAGTCAGTGGCAGATTTGGGATTCTAATCCAGGCAATCAAGCTCCAGAGAGTTTAACCATTAAAGCTATTCTACCTGATGTAGGACTTATAGGGTCTCTCAAATTAGTCAGGGATTAATTTTTAAGATCATTGCCAGCCAAAACAGTTATAAAGTTTAAAATCACTGCCAGCCAATACAATAATTATAAGAATGACAAAGATGAAGTACTTAATTCTCAAAAGGGTAATTAAAAAACATAATATACATATTTAGTAAATCCTATTACAATGAATCCTTTGAGTGATAGAACAATACTTTCTGATCCTCTACCGTTCAGATGACAATCTGAATTATATGATTTAACTATCATATCATAAAATGAATAATTAATGATATGTGACTGCAATATTTTGTTAAATTCTTATAGAGTAAAACATGTCCAGTCTATTCTTTGTTAAATGTTACATAGGGAGAAGAGTGGGAACTTGATTTTTCTATTAGCAATTCTACTCCCAAAAGTTTCAAACATGCGAAGCCAAAGAAAATTAGGCTTTCTGAAGAAAGCACAAGAGTTTATTTAAATGGTGTTGTAATACATTGAGGGAAATTATTTAAAAAACATCAAATGGTTAGAATGTAAAAGTTCTGAGCTCTTCCCAGTAGATTTTCATACTAAAGGTCAGAGAATCCTCTATTTCATTTTAATTTAAAAGTCATAATAAGCTTTAGCTCACTAGGTGAAAACCAATCATTTTACCATTATTGGTAAAACTAAACTATCCTTTAGAAACTGCAATTAATTTCTGTGTAGCATATTAGACATGGAGAAGGAAAAGTCTCTCTTCTAAAATCATAAAAATTCAACATTATATTGTTCCTCACACCTCAAAGATATCTGTTAATAAAAAAGGTGATTTGCCTAGAAACCATGTAGCAAGTTTACATTTCTTAAGAAATTCCCAGTACAGGCTGAAATTCAAGTTTCATTTGATTTTTTTTATAACCATATTACTTGCAATTCATTTCTTTTCACAACCAATAACAGATTTTACCTTCTTTATCTTTTGTTCCCATTGCCAGGCCCACAACCTTGGGTCCAGCTCCAAAAATCTGAAGCTTCTTCAGTTCTGTGTTTCTAGTCAGTTCTCCAGATTCTGACTAAAAAATAACAAGCAAAATTCACATTAGCATAAATATATCAATTTAAGCTTCCCCAGACCTTGCCCCCAGTACTGGGGATTGAATTCAGGGGTGCTTTATCACTAAACTACACCCCCAGACCCTTATATTTTGAGACAGGGTCTTGCTAAGTCGTTGAATTTGTGATCCTCCTGCCCCAGCCTCCAGAGTACTGAAATAATAGGCATTGTGTCCCCATGCCCAGCTCATGCATTTATTTATTTTATTTTTAAAAAATATTTTTTAGTTGTCGATGTACCTTTATTTTATTTATTTACATGTGGTGCTAAGAATTGAACTCAGTGCCTCACACATGCTTAGGCAAGCACTCTACCACTGACCTACAACCCCAGCCCATGCATTTATTTTCAAGACAGGGTTTTGCTATGTTTTCCAGGCTTGCTACAACTTCTATGCTTGCCTCTCGAAGCAGCTGAGACAACAGGAATGTGCCCACACATCTGGATGGCTTATGTATTTATTTTATTACCCAAGAAAAGTTTCTTGATCCTCTTCAAAGTGAAGGACAGTACTATTTGATTTCTTTTAAATCCACACACTCCCTCATTCACCAAAGTACTATGCAACACCCAAATTCCTTTCAACAAAATAAAATTCACCTATGTCTCAAAAAATCTTAATTATAAATTTGGTTCTGTCTAGAGACACTACTGGTTATCATAAAATAGAAATTCCCACTTCTAACCTTCTAATGAATACCTGTCTTTGAGTAGAGAGTAGTATGACTATCTCAGGTGATGAATCATAACTATCTTAAGATAATCATACAAATCTCATATCTCTTTATTGGTGATGACCTATCTAGGGGTGGGAATGTGATCCACTTTTGGCCTACTATACAAAGTTCACCGAAATCACTGGGAAATATTTTTAATCTTCTAATAAAAAAGGAAGTTTCTCAAAGAGTAAATCCTTTTGACCCACCCCCTTCCTGCTAGGAGACTCAGCCTGGTCAAAGCACACTGCTAGACTATGCAGAAACCACACAACAATTAATAGGGAACTTATCACCCACACATTAAAACAAGCAAGACAGAAAGATGGAAAGAGCCTGGATCCTTAATGACAATGTTAACATGCTATACCAATCGTAAAAAGTTTCATGCTGAAATTATGTTCTTATGTGGAAACTTTATTGTTAATGTTTAAGTTTCACATGGCATTCTATTATGTAAGCACATGCTGACAAATCAATATTAAATCTTGAAGTTAGATAATCATAATCTCCAAATGTAGTCTAATAGCCAAAATTTATTTTAAATGTATAAATAAATAAGAATAAAAATAAATCTGAATAAAATATAGACTACTTGATAGTGTACAGCTTGGTAACAAATGATGTACGCAATAAAGATTAATAAAAATAATCTAAAAATAAAACAAACCTAAAATCGCATTTCAAAATTTTCTTTAAAACTTTAAGACTTTTTTTGCAAAGTTAGTTCAATGATAAATAACAATATACATCATTTACCATTATTAAAACAGAGTACATACTAATGAAAGCTAACATATGCTAATTATATACTAAGTGCCACAACTAAGTATTTTAATCAATTACTCCAAACAACCATATTATCATACAGGCAATAATGTTCTAAAAAGTAAAATAAAAACAACATTCTCTCATCTTAATGGAATGAAATTATAAGCAACAAAATTACAACTCAAAAGGACCCTTTCACCTGGAAATTTCTACCTCTTAAAAAGTAACATTAAAAACTACACATCAAATCTCTGAAACAAATGAAAATAGTGATTGCAGGAAACTTTATACACATCAATAAAACCAAAGAAGAGAAATAATGATTAGATTCCCAACTCAAAATGCTAGAAAAAGAACTACAAAATAAACTGTGTGGTGCTAGATCAGAATTGGACTTTTCAGTACAAAATCAAAATAAGAAGTCACAATTTTTTAAAAAATTACCTATCCCTGACCATTAAACAATGGTCATCAAGCTAGGAAATATTAAAGGAAAGAGATTCAGAAAGGGTGGTAATAAATTGAGATACACTGAATTTGTCATACCTGTGCTCTGGCCAAAAGAATTACACATAAATACAAAGATACACACACACACCTGGTAAACAGAAAAGCTATGTGGATGTCAACACATATTCAGGGGTCCTGAGTGTATAGGCAGTAACTGAAATCACAGAGTAGATGAGATGACAATAAGGAGAGTGACAATAGGGAAAAAAAATAATAAATATACAAAATAAAGCACAGAAAGAAGAGACAACAAAGATGATAGGGAATGGTCAGAGGGTAGAGATGAATACCAGAAGAGAGAGATTAAAGAAGCCAAAGGAAAAAAAAAAAATCAATCTAAGTGAATTTCAAGGAGAAGCGTCAACAACCATGACCAGAAATCAAATAAGATACAACATGGAAAGGGGCCTCAGAATTTAACAAAATGGTAAAGTTATTCTTTAAAAATCACCTCAATTGTCACTTGGACAGTGTAATTTAAATGAAATTATTTAGCTCAAAGTCAGATTAGAGTATAAAAACTAAACAGGTGTTGAGGAAACTGACACAATATAGAGTTTTTCCAAGAAACTTTTCTGTGAAAAAAGATAGGAAATAAATTTTATTTTTTTAAGATGACACAAACTTGAAAACATGTATATGGTTGCAGAGCAAGATAGAAATTCAGCAGACAGAAGAAGCAGACAATATTTTTCAACTGATACACTGAAATCACTGAAGAAGCCAAAAGGGGTGGTGATGGAGAGATTATCCCTGGAAAGAAAGGTACACCTTTGCCACCAAAGATAGGCAGAGACTAAGGATGAATGTCAGTAGTTTTGTGCAAAAGAAAAAAAGAAGAAAAAGTTCTACGAAATGTTTTTATTTCCGTTCTGAAATACAACACTAGGAATGAGAGGCAAACTGGCAATACAGCAATTAAGTACAAATTTGAGTTAAAAAAAATTCTTAGCTGGGCACCACCAGGCCATATACCTATAATCCCAACTTTGAGGAAGCTGAGGCAGGAAAGATTCCAAGTTTGGGACAAGCTTAGGCAACCTAGCAAGACCCTGTTTCAAAAAATAAAGAAGCTGGGATATAGCTCAGTGGTAAAGTGCCTCTGGGTTCATTTCCCAGTAATGGAAAAAACGATCTTAATTTCAAATCCTGAAGTAACTCTAGTAACTACAAACTGATTTCTATGACAATGACAATTACTACAACGAGCAAGAAAATTCTATATGGTTGTTATTTTTATACATACATAAAGAAAAGGAATTAGAAATAGGCAAAAAGCTGGTGGTATAACTCAGTGATAGAGCACTTGCCTAGCATGCATAAGGTCCTAAATTCCACTCCAAGAAAAAAAAAAAGACAGAATAAATGAATGAATGAGGCAAGCCTTTCATGATTTCAGAAAGAACATCAAAAATAATTTCATCAAAAGCTGGCAATCGGTTAGAGAGACTGGGCAACTCTTAAAAGCTGAGTCACTTAAGTCAAAGAGAATAGTCTACAGTGTTCCAGGTCCTAAAATGGAATCATAATTGTATATCCAACAATGATCAGAACTTTTGAAATCAAGCACACTAATAAAAAAAAATCTCTTAATGACTAAAGCAAAGTTTATAAGTTTATAATGGGGCTATCAGTTTCCCGTGAATTTCTATTAAATCCACATTCCTATCCAGGACACCTAATTTTCTGCGATCAAAGTATAGAAAAGGCAGAGTTCCTCAGTAAGCATAAACTCAGAATAAGAAGAGCAGGAATGGCCTGATGGAGAGATAGCCCATGAGCTCTAGAAAAGCAAAAAATATCACTAGCCTACTTATGACAAGACTACATACAACCCTGGATCCAATGTTTCTTCTTATTAACAGATTTATCTTGCTTCTGATTCCTACTTACAATATCAACCATTCCCATTTTTTGTTTTATTCTTCTAAATATTAAAACAATATATGAAATCCAGTTAAGTTGCCATTCCTCTCTCTATATAAGTTAATTTAAAAATACCAAACATTAGAATTCTAAGGGCACCTCACTCTCTAATCTAAAGACTTATCTTTATTAACAACCTTAAAAAATAAAACCCTTAAGACTTCAAAGAAAACAGGAGAAAAAAAGAAATTATGGAGTTTTTCTTCTTTAGGTTATATGAACACTGTAGAAGTTACACTATAATTGCTCAAACATTAAGAAATTTAAAGGACTAGTGAGTAAAAAATAAAACCACTCTTTTTTACTCCTCTCTGCTAATGATGAAAATAAAATGTACTAGAATTCAACAACATGACTTCCAGATGCAGTGGTGTATGCGCGTAATCCCAGCAGCTCAGGAGGCTGAGGCAGGAGGATCACAAATTCAAAGCCAGCTCAGCAACTTAGTAAGACCCAGCCTCAAAATATTTCTTCTCTATTCACCTGAAAGGTGAACAGAAGCAGTGGTGTAGTTTAGTGGTACAGAGTCTACCTAGCATGCATAAGACCCTGGCTTCTATCTTCAACACCTCTTTAAAAAAAAAAAGTGAATAGAAGCTATGTCTCCTCGAGCGTTAAACAACAACTGTAGGCTGGGCATGGTGGTGCACACCTGTAATCCCAGTGGTTTGGGAGACTTGAGGCAGGAGGATAGGGAGTTCAAAGCCAGCTTCAGCAAAAGCAAGGTGCTAAGCAACTCAATGAGACTCTGTCTCTAAGTAAAATACAAAATAGGACTAGAAATGTGGCTCAGCGATTGCATGCCTTTGAGTTCAATCTTCAGTACCAAAAAAAAAAAAAAACAGTATATGAATGGCCTCCTATGACCACAGAACTATTCTGTCAATAAATGCACTTGAAATTCCTATTAAAAACAGCCCATGGACATTAATACCTGAGACTTGACACGTCTTGTTCTCTTTGGCAGAATGTTCATTCTTGTGCCCGGCTCTGGGGAGGTTTGGATATCACTGCTGAGAACCTCAGACGCCACTTTTTCCTTAAGGTCTAAATTGGGCATCTGTACACCCTAAAAGATCAGACACAGAAAGAGAACAGATTCACTGATAAGAAATAAGAGAATCAGTAGAAAAATAAAATAATAAATTTCCAGTAAATCCCTACAATTATACAAAACCATATAGCAATTCTTCCTTAAAAAGATCTAAAGAAGGCAATCCTATCAAAATCCCAACATGCAGCCGAGCACGGTGGCACACACCTATAATCCAGGCAACCTGGGAGGCTGAGGCAGGAAGATATCAAGCTCAAAGCTACCCTCAGCAACTTAGCAAGTCTCAAAACTAAAGTAAAAGGGCTGGGGATGTAGTTCAGAGGTACAGCACACCTGGGTTCAATTCCCAGTACAACAAAACAAATAAAAAAATCCCAATACACTTTATTTCTGTGCAAACTGAAAGCTGATTCTAAAACTGATGTGGAAACAAATTGTTTCAAAATTCTGAAAAAGAGCCATGAGGTCTTACATAATGAATATCAAAATTTACTATAAAGCTACAACACTCAAGACAGTGTGGTAATAGTGTTAGGGTAGACATTTAGAGTCCATTCCAAGATCCCCAATGGATGCCTGAACTAGAAGATAGTATTAAACCCTATGAATACTATGTTTTTTCCCTGTGACAGTTTAATTTAAAATTAAGCACAGTAAGAGATTAATAACCAAAACAGAGCAATAATAGGCAACACACTGTAATTTTAAGAAGTTAATGGTATTTCTCATTCAAAATACCTTATTGTACTTTTTCCTTTTCTTCCACCCCCGCCCCTTTCTTGGTACTGAGGAATTAAACCAGGGAAGCATTACCATTGAGCTATATCCCCATCCCTTTTTATTTTTTTATTTTGAGACAGAGTCTCATTAAGTTGCTTAAAGCCCACTAAATCACCAAAGCTGGCCTCAAATTTGTAATCCTCCTCCCTCAGCCTCCTGGGTCTCCGGATTACAGGAATATACTATAATGTACACCCGCCTAATGTTTGCCTTTTTACCTTTACAGCTTCTCTTTGGCATATCTGAAGGGCCAACAGTATTACTCTTGCTCTTGGGGACCATTATCAAGTAAAACAGAATTACATGAATACACTGTGAAACTGTGACAGGAGAACTAACAACCAAGATGGCTACTAAGTAACTAAGGGGTGGGGACAAAGCAAGAAGGCATGTTATTTCATCATCCTACTAGAAATAGTATAAGCTTTTAAACTTACAAATTATTTCTAGAATTTTTCATTTAATACTTTCAGACCCAAACAACAATTAAGCACAGACGCTAATTGAAACCACAAAATGTTAAACCACAAAGTAGGGACTACTGTACATCAATGAAACAATACAGAACTCAGAAATAAACTCACACATTTACAGTCAACTGATTTTCAATAAAGTGCCAAGGCAAATCAATGGAATGGATAGTCTTTTCAGAGAAATGATGCTGGTACAACTGAGTATTCATATACCTCTCCCTAAAAATGAATCTACACCCTTACCTCACTTTATACATGGAGGGAAAAAACTGAAAGTGCATCACAAAACTAAATCTAAAAGCTAAAATTATAAAACTTACAGATGAAAAAGAAGAAACATCTTTGTGACCTTGTGATAGGAAAAGATTTCTTAAATATGATGCTAAACACAATTTTTAAAGGAAAAAAAATCGTGAATTATTCTTCAAAGAATAACCATTATGAAAATGAAAAGAAAAATTACAGGTTAGAAGAAAACATTTGCAAAATATATTTGATGAAGGACTTACATCCAGAATATAGAATGAATTCTTACAAGTATAAGACAAATTACCAATTAAAAAAAAATTTCTGAAGGGACATTTTGTTAATATATATTGACATTTTGTTATATGAGACACTAATATAAACATGATAAGATGCAAAACATCAGTAGTCTTTGGAAAATAAATATTAAAACCACAATGAACTATCACTATATATCTACTAAAATAGCTATAAGCCAAAAAACTGACAATATCAACTGCTGGTAAGGAAACGGACAAACTGGAAGACTCTCCATTATGGTGGGAATTTATAATAGTTCAGCCATTTCAGAAAATAATTTGGCAGTTTCTTAAAAAGTTAAGCATAAACTTACCATATAATCCAGCAATTCCATTCCTAGGTATCTACCCAAGAAAAATAAAAACACATGTCCACACAAAGACTTGTACATGAATGGTCATAGTATTATTCATAATAACCATAAAATGGAAAAAAAACAGCTGCCCATCAACTGACAAATGGATAAACAAAATGTGGTATATTCATACAACAGAATAGTATTCAGCCATAACACTTAAGTACTAATACATCCTATGATATGAATGAACCTTGAAAACCTTTAGATAAAGAAGCCAGACACAAAATCTTACTGTATGATTTCCTCTATGTGAAATTTCTTAGACAAACCTAGAGCCAGAAAGTAGACGAGAAGTTGCTTGGGTTTGAGGATAGGGAATAGGAACCAATGTGGTGATTGCTGCTTAAGCATATAAATTTATTGAAGCTTAATGTAAACTTTTTTTTTTTTTTATGGGTACTGAGCATGGGTGCTAAACTACTGAGCCACATCCCCAACCCTATCTATCTATCTATCTATCTATCTATCTACCTATTTGAGGCAAGGTCTTGCTAAATTGCTTAGGACATCATTGAGTTCCAAAGCCAGCCTCAAACTTAACCTCCTGCCTCAGCCTCCCAAGTTGCTGGGATTACAGACATGCATCACCACATCTAGCACAATAGGTGAATTCTATAGCATATAAATTATACCTCAATAAAGTTATTAAAAGATATATGAGCTAGACATGGTGGTACATGCCCATAATCCCAGCAACTTGGAAGGCTGAGGCAGGGTGATCGCAAGTTCAAGGTTAGCCTCAACAAATTATCAAACTTCCTTTTGTCTCAAAAGAAAGAGTAAAAAAGGTTGGGTATGTAGTTAGTGGTAAAGCACCCCTGGGTCAATCCCCAGCACCCAAATACATAAATATGTGAAAAAAAACAGGAAGAATTTTTCAAAAAGCTTGAAGCATAGAGATTTATTTTAAATAAATAAGAAAACATCCTTTGTACCCATTACCCTTTTTCTTATAAATCATTAAGTATAGCTATAATTTTTAAAACTAGGATATACACCTTGCCTTCCCACATTTGAGTGCCTGGAGAAATCTATTACACTTTGTTATGCATAAACAACCACAACCATATAATGAATAAGGTCTAAAGTTTTTAAACTGGATTTACCGACTCTAAGAACAATAATGTGGGCTGGGGTTGTGGCTCATCAGTAGAGTGCTCGCGTAGCACGTGTGAAGTCCTGGGTTCGATCCTCAGCACCATGTAAATTAATAAAAAATAGGTGGTGTGTCCAACTACAACAAAAAATAAAATATTAAAAAAAAAAGAACAATAATGCATCTCACCATAAGGCTGACACCAGATTGGAAAAGCTCGTAAGGGTATAGAATCCTTTCATAGTGTGACTTCAAAAGAGACCCAGTTCCTTTTCCTGGCAGATATCCCAAGCGGCTACCCACTTTAGACCATTTCTTCTCTTTGGTGACCATTTCAAAACCTCCTTTGCTGGCCACAATCTGAAAAGAAGGTAAAAATTATTTAGGGAAAGAAGGCAGATTCAAGCATACTGACTCTGTATTTTGTCCACTAAATATAAAATATATTCTGGGCTTAGATTATAAATTTCTTTTCAACAAATATAACCAAACTATTTCAACATTTAAAAGAATAGAGAAAATTATTTTTTTAGGTTTTAAACTCTAAAATTTAATAAACATTATTGTGCCTACTTTCAAACAAAATTTGTTCAAAATTATTTAATAATTTATACTTTGCAATTAAGCACTGTAAGAAAACCAAACACATATATATGCCATATTCTTAGGAAATAAGAATATGAAATAAGAATAAAACTAGACATGAGAATAAATACAAGTAATGCAAAACAAAATGAACAAAAAAAGTCCTAATATTACAAAATGTACCAAGAAATTTACAGAACTTAAAAAAAAAAATGTCAACCAAACCACAAACGGAGAGGACAATTTCAAAAAATGAGGCTATAATTCTTCAAAGAGAAAAAAATGGTTGGGAGTGTACTTCAATGATGAAGCATTTGCCCTGCATGCATGATGCCCTGGGTTCAATTCCCTGCATCACAAAAAAAAAAAAAAAAAAAAAAGGAAGGGGGCACTTTTATATGGAAGACTATGAAAGGAATGATAGACAAAGATCAGACTGCAGTAGATTTACCAGCACATAACATATACTAATAGCACATAATATATTAAGGTGGGAAGTGATAAGATGAACTGATAACTTGGCTAAATGCTCACATCAAACCAGATACGTACCATGTCCCTCTATCTTCCTAAAACTGTAAATGAACATTTATCACACCCTAAAATATAGGCAGTTTTCAGCTTCACTGAGAACAAAGAGGACTGTGACACAGTATTTGAAATCAATTTCTCCTCTATAAATATATACTACTATATCTTACTAAATGGACAAGGTGAAAAATTAAACATAAAGTTAACATGTGGTCCACAGCAGTATCACTCGTTAAGAGTCAAAAGGTGGAAACAACCCAAATGTCCACCAACAGATAAATGGACACACAAAACATAGTGTTTGTGTACACACACACACACACACACAATGGAATTATTATTCAACCTACAAAAAAAGGAGAAGCCAGGCACAGTGGCACATGCCTGTATCCCAGCAACTCGAGAGGCTGAGGTACAAAGATCTCAAGTTCAAAGCCAGCCTCAGCAACTCAGCGAGGCCCTAAGTAACTTATCAAGACCCTGTCTCAAAAGAAAAAATAAAAAGGGCTAGGGATGTAGATCAGTAGTTAAGCATCCCTAGATTCAATCCCTAGTACAAAAAAAAAAAAGAAAAAACCCTAAGAGGATGATTTCTGAAACCAGATTGTCAATGCTCAAAGTATAACTCTGTCACTACACAGTTACATGACATCCAATTATATAAATTGAGGCTCAGTTTCCTCACTATTATGAAAACAGTTATACCTCAATGTAAGAGTTTATAAGGTGTGAAGCAGCATGAGAAGCAGCAATCTCACAATGACATTTAAGAACAATTACAAAGTATAAAACAACTCTTTTTAGCTTTAAATCTCAGTTTTTAAGCATTTTTACAAGTTAGGGAAAAGAGATGTCCAATATATCCTTGGACAAACAGATCTAACCTTTAATCACAACCTACTTTTAGTAAGTTTTCTTAAGTATTTAAACAAGGTATACTTTGTTAGTATTGTCATTTTTTCATAATGTTTTTATCAGAACATTAAAGTTATACATAATACTAAGGTTTATTTTGACATAATCATAAATGCATAGAATGCAATTTCAGTCCTCTATTATTAGATTCACAATCTAATATTTTACTTACAGTATAATAGTCACCAGTACTACTTCTTTCTCTTCCCCACTCCCTGCCCTGTTCTTCTTCCTCTACTCTACTGTCTTCCTTCAATTTACTTATTGGTTGTTTAATTGGTGATTCACAGATACACATAAAGTTGAGATTCACTGCGGTATATTCATATATTTACATAGTATATACTTCCATCAGTTTCATTCCATAGCTCTTCAGTATTTCCCTTTTAACAAAAAGGAACTGGTGGCATTCTTTGGAATTAAACAATACAACTGACAAATATTATGAGAACTATAAACGGGTATTCTGATTAGGTTAGGTCTAAAGTCCTTCCTGATTTTGAAATTCTACAACTTTTGAACAGTAATGCACTGGATTCCTTGCCACAAGTCTATAACCCCAGCAACTCGGGAGGCTGAGGCAGGAGGATCACAAGTTTGAGGTCAGCCTCAGTAATTCAGTAAGATCCCTATCTCAAAATAAAAAAGGGATGGGGATATAGCTTGGTAAAGTAGTAAAGCACCCCAGGTTCTATCCCCAGCACCAAAAACAAAACGACAAAAAAAAAAAAAAAAAACAGGAATGCAATCTAATCTTCAGATTAAGTCCAATGTTGTTTACCTTTCAATTTGAAAAATCTTGGGCTGGGGTTGCGGCTCAGTGGTAGAGTGCTCACCTAGCATGCACGAGGCACTGGGTTCGAACCTCAGCACCACATAAATGTAAATTAAAAATACTGTGTCCACCTAAAACTAAAAAATAAATATTTAAAAAAAAGAAAAAGAAAAATCTCTGGAACAGAAAGTTCCAATTTCATAAATTAACTTAATTACTTATTCTAGAAAATTGTACAAAGTATTTATAAAAATAAAGTAGGTATGTGGAATGAGTTTTGGCTGGAAATCACCACAACAGTGTTGTTATGAATAATAAAATAATTTTTGAAAATATTTTTTGCATTTTATTCACGCTAGGAATCAAGTCACATTTAAAACCTTAAGTATTATATAGCAAAACTTAGATTAAGTTTTGGCTGAATAAAAATGTCAAAAAGATAATTTTTTAAAATAATTTTTTATACTAATGGTTCCCTGCAAAATGACAATCTCAACTCTCAAATTTATTACAAAATTCTCTTCAGTATCACAGGTTTTCATATAACTGCACTAGATAATTCTTGACAGTGCTTTACTATTGACTGACAAAAACAACTGAGCCCATAATCTCAGTGGCTCAGGAAGCTAAGGCAGGATGATTTTGAGTTCAAGGCCAGCCTCAGCAACCTAGCAAGACCCTGACTCTAAATAAAATATAAAAAAGGGCTGGGTATGTGACTCATTAGTTGAGCATCCTGGTCAATCCCTGCTACCAAAAAAAAAAAAAAAACCTAAAGTTGTATTCGTCATAAGACTATGGCCAGGAACAGTGCCTACACACCTATAATCCTAGAAGCTCAACAGGCTCAGTCAGAAGGCTCGCAAATTCAAAGCCAGCCTCAGTAAAAAAAAAAAAAAAAAAAAATGAAGTGCTAAGCAACTCAGTGAGACCCTGTCTCTAAAAAAAATATGAAATAGGGCTGGGGATGTGGCTCAGTGGTTGAGTGCCCCTGAGTTCAATCCTGGTACCCCAAAACAAAAAGACTATACTTTTTAGAATTTTTAGGGAGAATTCTGGACTGACACTAACTTTAAAATGAAATCATAAAATAATTCAAATATAATTTAAACACAGGCAAGGTGGCACATGAATGCAACTCCAGTGACTCAGGAGGCTGAGGCAGGAGGATCACAAGTTTGAGGTCAGCCTGGGCAATTCAGCAAGACCTTATCTCAAAAGAAAACATAAAAAGGCTGGGAATGTAGCTCAGCAGTTAAGCACCCCTGGGTTCAAAATCCCTAGTACTAAATAAATAAATAAGGGCTTGGGGTATGGGTCAGTAATAAAGCTCTTGTCTAGAATGCACAAGGCCCAGGATTCAATCCCCAGTATCAGAAAAAATAATAACAATTTTTATATATATCATTATTCTCACTTTTTTTCTTAGAAGTGAAATCTTCAAAAATTAACTCTACAATATAAATAAGAATATTATCAATTATTATTTCAAAATAACATAGCAATCTTAAGATATCAAAGGCCACAAAAAGTGCTGCAAAATGTCTCAAATAATAAAGTTATCTTCACTCACAATCAGAGCAGAAATTTTTAATTATCATATTAACAAAACATATTTTCAAGGTAATTATTATAATCTGTTGCTGGTCAGTTGGTTATGTTCACTTCAGGAAATGTAATATTACAACCTAAATGCAAATTTGGGCAAAAAGGAGTCTAAACTTTTCATCTTTAAGTTTCTAAGCTATGATTCATTATACTGGATAAAGCTGGCTTCAGCCTTTAACATTATATTAGTGCTAAACTGATAATTACACTGATTAATGTAATTAATAAAACTGATACATACATCACACACAAGAATGCTGAGTATCATGAATCCCTGTAATACACTATATTTTCAGTTAAACAGAAATGATGACGAGCTCCATACAGAATATTATACACTCAGCACACTCCAATAATATCAGTAAATAGGTATTTCTTTTGCATATTGTACACCATGGAGCCAATTAATCTGAATCATTAATTCCATAACAAATTATAAGAGAGCTTTTTTTGAGCAGTACTAGAGATTGAATCCAGGGATATGCTACCACTACACTACATCCTCAGTCCTTTAATACTTTTTATTTTGAGACAGGGTATCATCCTCAGTCCTTTATTACTTTTTATTTTGAGACAAGGTCTCATTGGTCTTGAGCTTATGATCCTCCTGCCTCAGGCTCTTGAGTAGCTATAATAAAACAGCTTTTAAAGATAAGTCTGAAGGGCTAGGGTTGTGGCTTAGCAGTAGAGCACTAGCCTAGCACGTGCGAGGCCCTTGGTTCGATCCTCAGCACCACATAAAAATAAATAAATAAATAAAGATATTGTGTCCGACTATAACCAAAAAATAAATGTTAAAAAAATAATTTAAAAAAAAAAAAAAAAGTCTGAGGCCAGTCATGGTGGCACACACCTCGGGAGGCTAAAGCAGTTACTCAGGAGGCTAAGGCAGGAAGACTGCAAGTTCAAAGTCAGCCTCAGCAACTCAGTGAGGCCCTAAGCATAATATATCATAATACACACACACACACACACAAATATATATATACATATCTCATAATATATTGTGAGACCCTGTCTCAAAAAATAAAAAGGGCTGGGGATGTAACTTAATGGTAAAATACACCTGGGTTCAATCCCCAGTATTAAAAAAAAAAAAAAATCCCACTAACAAACAAACCTTTAAGATATGTTTCCATTTATTCATTGCCAAACAACTCCTACACAGAAAGCAATGTTTCCCTCCAAGTTTCTTTGAAATTCTTTATCATAAATTTCCAGACTTGTGCTCAATTTCTTGGTACACGTATATGTATGTAATGCTTGGGATCAGACCCAGGCCCTTCCACATGCTAAGCATGTACTCTATATCCCAGACCCTCTGTTCAATTTCTAAACGAAGTACAAAAATGAATCTAAACTTTTCACTTTTAAGTTTCAAAGCTATTATTCACTGTACTGGATAAAGTTGGCTTCAGCCATTAACATTACATCATAAGTGCCTCACCTTGCTCAAAGCATACAGATCCAGAATTTTTCTCTCCACCACAGGAATTTTCAGAGTAGACCCTTGAAGTTCCCAAAATTTTGCCAGTTGATCCAAGAAGTCCAGTCTCACTCTGGTCATTGCCTAAGATTAATAAAATATAGATATTGGCCATAGGAACTGGTATGGCTGAAAATAAATCAATGTGTCTTAATCTAGAGTAATTTAAAGACTTCTTTACTGTTAACTGTGTTAAAAAAAAAAAAAGCCAATAATGTAAAGAGGTTAAATACTTCTAATGAGCTTTATTCACCAAGGCAAAAACAAGCTACTCTAAAGCAGGTATGGTAGTATATACCTGTAATCCAAAATCTTGGGAGGTGGACAGAGGCAGGAGGATTACAAGTTTGAGGCAGCCTGGGCAATTTAGCAAGATCCTCTCTCAAAATACAATTTACAGATCAGTGGTAGAATGCTTGCTTAGTGTGGGCAAGGCCCTGGGTTCAACCCATAGAGCAACATCAACAAAAAAAATAATAATTTTAACATATGTAAAAAGTTCTCACTAGCAACTAAAAGAATTCTTTTAATTTGCTTAACTTTATGCTAACCAAAGTATGCAGTAAATTATTTCTAGTCTCTAAGCATCCTAATTCCATCATTTCATCTGTAGGTATTATGCACACTTTTAGTACACCAACTCTACCTCAGTGATATTAAGATGCTTCATCAAGTATCTAATTACAATAGTTTAAAAGAAAAATATGTATTAAAATCTCAGAAAATACATGTTTTGGTTTTTCTTATCTTGAGAGGGGTGGGTGCGTGTGTGGTACTGGGGATTGAACTGAGAGCCTCACCCATGCCAGGAAAACACTCTTACCACTGACCTGCATCCCCAGGCCATCAAATAATATAAGCACAATCCAAGAGAATTAGTAATATTTAAAGGGAAATCTTATAAATAAAATTAACTGGCGCTCAGTGGTAGAGCGCTTGCCTAGCACCTGTGAGGCACTGGGTTCGATTCTCAGCACCACATAAAAAATTTAATAAAATAAAGATATTGTGTCCATCTACAGCTAAAAATGCTTAAAAATAAATAAACAAAATTAACAGTCTGGAGAAATTCTACCAAAACAAAACCACTTGAAAACTAGGTTTTCAAATGAAAATTTATAGAATTAAAAAAAACCTATCTTCCAGGCTGGGTTGTGGCTCAGTGGTAGAGTGCTTGCCTGGCATGCATGGGGCACTGGGTTCGATGCCCAGCACCACAATAAATAAGTAAACAAATAAATAAATAAAAAATATTTTGTGTCCATCTACAACTAAAAAAAAAAGAAACTATCCTCCAAGGACCACAAGAGGCAGAAATCTTCTGAGATTAGTCCCTGAAAAATTTTAGAATAATAAACATTGGAGAAAGTGGAATTTAAGAATTTCAGATCTCCGAAGCTGGACATTCCCATGATGAAAAATATAGTAAGAAACAATTTCCCATAATCTCAGCTAAATAAAAAAACTCTAACCATAAGCTTTTAAAAATCAGACACTTCTTCCAAACACTAAATAACTGTTCTAGTCAATCCCAATTAACACAAACTCTGGGCCTCAGTACATAAGCTAATCAAAGTTCTCTACCTAGAGGCCTAACATAAAAAATCAGGAAGGAGAATTGTTAATATAACACTTACCTCAAGTTCATTCAGGCGCTGTACTCTTGGAGTGAATCGAAAGCTTTTTACTTCACACGCAAATGGAGGTTGCCAATCCTAAACAGAAAGGACATGCGTATATGTATATATGTTTGTGTCTATGTATACAAAAATATGTGCTTTTTTTAACACAGTAATATGGGTTGGGAATGTAGCTCAGTGGTAGAGCACTTGCCTAGCATGTGCAAGGCCCTGGGTTCAATGCTCAGCACCAAAAAATAATAATGGTATGTAAGCAAGGAGTGCATTATTCATTACTTTAAGGGGTGAGTTGCCAAAAATCAGTGACAATAGAACTTGTAAGTCTTCTTTATTGTAGAAACAGAATAATATTTTTCACATAAAATAATTTTAATTTTAATATCACTTAGAGTGTTCTCAACTCTCACCAGTCTCGCTATTTACATCCCAGTTATGCTTTCTCAAATTACTCATGCAGAAAGCAATGAGTTCATGTACCACAGAACAGTGTCCAATAAACATACAGGTTTACCAAATTAAAAAAAAGGGGTAAAACTAAAGATTAGAAGGAAATTTATAGGGCTGGTGATGTAGCTCAGTGATAGAACACTTGGCTAGCATATGTAAGACTTGAGTTTGACTCCCAGCAATGCAGGAAAGAGAAAAGAAATTTTTAAGTATTTATTAATCAGTTACAGTGGCACCTGCCAATAGTTTGTTATTCAGGAGGCTGAGGTAGAAAGATCACTTGAGCCAGGAATTCTAGATCAGTCTGGGCAACATAGAGAGACCCTGTTTCCCTCCCACTCCCCCAAAAGTCAATTTTGTCAACAATTTTTTAAAATATTTTTTATTTATGTGTAAATATAAGCACTTTACAGTCTATGTTATATAAATGTTTTGATCAAAGCCCAGCTTCTGGGGACCCAAACATACATATATATATATATATATATATATACACATATACACAACATATATACTTTTTTTTTTTTAAATAAGTAAATCCACAGAACAAAGACAACTTCCAGACAGATGTAACTAATTTGAGGTCAGATATTTCAAGTGGCATTCTAAAGAACATAGTTTAATTGGCCTAAACAATAGCATTTAAAGATATGAGAAGTAGTCAAAGATTTGTTTTTAATAAACCTTATTTAATATGTATACTCTTTCAGCCTTTTTAATAAAAATATAACTTTGTTTTACCAAAACAATCCTTCAATAGAATTTTTAATGAATAAATACAACATAAATAGATGAAAATATGGTTTAGGAAAAAACTTCAATGCTTCAGTCTTGGTCAGCATTAGATAATTTTGATAAAGAAAAAGTAGAAGCTTTTGGAGGATGGCAATGCATATCATCACAACAATTATTTGTTAATCCTTTGCTTGCAACTGATAATATTACAGTATTCAGCATAGTGGGAGTAAGACCTGCTTTATAATCAGAAAACTTTGATTTTGAAGTTCAAAACCTACTTTGCTTTTTTGCCCAAGATAACACATTTGATTGTTTTTTAACTTATCCAGACTTGCCTCATCTGCAAAATGAGAAATTTATTTACCTACTAGGTCTTCAAAGATTAAATAAAACATTCTATAGATGCTAAATTAACTACTCCTTTTCCCCCTTTCATCTAAGCTTTTAATTCACTGTGGTATGAACTATCATGGTAATCCTGGTGAGGGTGGATGATTTCTTAAATGCAACACTGGTAACAGGCTTATCTACCTCTAGACAAAACATAAAGCAAAATGTCTTTAAGAAGCAAAGGTTCTATCCACAGCAAAAATTCACAAACTTAATCTGCATTAAGAATCATCTAAGCATTTGCTAGAAAAGCAGATTACAAACATTCCAGATCCAGAAATAGATTTCACCCTTTTTTCTTTCCCCCCCTTTTTTTTTTTAAATCCCCACTCTTTTGGCAGTTTCAGAGATATGGAACCCAGGGCTTACACACGCTAGGCAAATGCTATACCACTGAATTACATACTCAGCCCGATTCTAGTCTTTTTTTTTTAACATTTTTTTTAGTTGTTGATGAACCTTCATTTTATTCATTTATTCACATGCAGTGTTGAGAATAGAACCCAGAGCCTCACACATGCTAGGCAAGTGCTCTACAATGAGGTACAACCCCAGCCCTGATTCTAGTCTTAATAAGGCCTAGCAATATGCAGTTTAATAAACTTCCAGTCAACCATGGTACAGGTTATCCAGCAACAGTATTTGGAAAGCACTAGTGTAATGAGTAAAGAAAAACCCTTTTGACCTTGAGCATATCACTGAAACTCTTAGGGCATTAATTGCACCCATAGGAGTAATATCTGAGATCCTTAAAGATTGAGAATTATAATTATCCAACTTTAGGCAAACCTAATTATTTGCAATCATTGCAATTCTAAAATCTTTGCTCCTTGGTTCCTTATATCAAGGGTTTTCAACGTTTTCTTCCACTTCCACTATTGACCTAAACCTCCGAATTTCAAAAATTATTGATGCTCTTTCTCTTCCCCATGTAAGATTTTTCCATCGCAGCAGTAATCGGCCTGGAATTCTTGCCTTTTGATACCATTGTGGGAAACAACTAGAGCTCAAATTACCTTTTAAGAAACCCAAGACCTATCCGGGCGATAGAACAAGCCTGTAATCCCAGCGACTCGGGAGGCTGAGGCAGGAGGATCACAAATTTGAAGCCAGCCTCAGCAATTTAGCGAATACCTAAGCAACTTAGCGAGACCCCTTTGAAAATTAAAATATCAAACTCAAAGGGCTGGGGATGTAGCTCAGAGCTAGGGCGACCCTAGGTTCAAACCTCGGCACTCCCCCCACAAAAGTAAAAAAATAAAAAGAAAAAAAACCCCACTTAACCCTGAGAGATGACCTGCAAACATTTAACAAACTAAGCATTAGCAGGGCTTGGATGCAGCAGAAATAGCCGACGGACAGGTAGTTTCTACTGTAGAAGCATAATGAGGATTGTACATAAGGGGAAGGCACGTCAGGTCACAACACTTTAAACACCTTTCCAGACATCAAAAGGCCTGAAGCCTTTTGTTACCCTTTCCCCCAATTCCAGAGAAAAGTATCAGTGCCCAAGTTCTAAATGGAAAAGACCCTAGGAAGACCCCTTTCTGGCGTTCACACCCACCGAAATTAAACTGCAGAAGAAACTAAGGTAAAAATATCCAGAAAAGTAGCCTTCAGTTGTTCAGAAATGAGGAAGAGTATACACGAAAAAAACAGAAAAACCTGAGAAGTAAAGCCACACCAAGCGTATCGAATCCCCTATACTCCCTTCTCCCCGTCTCTCCTCACAGACTCCGGTACCTTGGGCGGTCGGATTTTGCAGATGCCAGTTTTCTCGGCCAAAGGCCGGATGCGGCCAATGAAGCTGAGCGGGTCTGTGAACTCCTCCCAGCTGGGCTCAAAGACCGGACACTCCGGGGGTGGCACGAACTCTGCCGCGTAGCCCCCCGGCCCCATGCCCGCCATGGCAATAGCCAGGGGACCCCCTTAGGAGAACAAGTGGAGAAAGGCTGGCTGAAGCCCACCACGCCTTTTCACGTCCCCTGACAGGGGCCGCAGCGCATCTTTTTGAACATGAAGTGCGGGACGCAGAAACCCCAGAATCGCTTCCTCCAGTCGTTTGTTATTGTTTCCTTCAGGGCTTTTCCTCTCAGGGACCGGACTTTTCCGGAAGTTAACGTACTGTCAAATTCCTCCGCCACCGCAGGAAACAGAATTCCTCCGCCGCGACGCCTCGAGGTACGACGCTTTTCTTCTTCCTCCCTTTCGGGAGAGTCTGGTGTCGCTATTTCTCTGCTTGCCCGTCGCAGTTCTGGGCAGCTGATGACTCCGGGAGGGTCACCCTTGAGGGTCCCACGGTCTCCTCTAGGCGAGGTAAGAGTGAAGAGAAGTATTCGGGGCGAGGCAGAACGCGCTCTTCCGGCGCGGAGGAATGTGTAATGCCCCAGAGGGCAGAGGTTCTCTTCCGGCGAGGAGGACGCAGTTCCCCTTTGTGTATTAGTGGACGCGCAAACAAACCCGGCCTAACGGTAGCCACCCAACCTCGCTGCTGGTTGGCCGTCATTTGTCTTATCCTGCTTGTCTACATTTGACCGAGTAACTAACATTTCCGGCATATTTCTCACACTCTCTTTTTTTCATCCTTTGCTAGTATCTTACGAACAATTGTATTTGGTCGTTTTATACCTGCCTCGTTTGCACGATAAGTTCTAAATGGAACCGATCCCCCAAATCCTGCAGAGCGGCTTTAGCCACCACCTAAGAATTCTTTTCACTCTCCTAATCTTTCTTTTCTAGCATTTGTCAGTCAACCCTAAATTATCTCATTTTAACAGTAACTAGCTCCCTTTGGCATCACATAATGTATTAAACCTTTTTCAGTTTATTTAAAAAAAAAAAAAAACTACGGTAATCGTTTTGAACTTGTCGGAAAATCTCTAAGCCAGGGCTCAGTGGTAGAGTGCATAAGGGATCCCCAGAACCGCAAAAAGAAAAAGAAAAAATCTCTATGCCAGTGTCTATTTCTTACTTCCTCCAAATTGTGGAAAGTAACATAGACAGGATTAATGGAGAAATCTTGAAAATGTGCTTTTTAGTATTAAGTATCAATATGGCTGGGCATGTTGGCACACACCTGTTAGCTCAAGGACTCTGAAAGCTGAGGCAGGAACTTCGCAAATTCAAAGCCAACTCAGCAGCTTAGAGAGACCCTGTCTCAAAATAAAAAATAAAAATGGTTGGGGATGTGTCTCATTGCTTAAGCCCAATCCCTTTTACAAAAAAAAAAAAATGCAATGACTTCACATTTTTTTTATTTACTGCCACTTTCAAGCTTCATCTTTTCTGCTTTACTGTATAATCTACAAACTTTTTGGTGGCTTTGATGCACCATTCTTTGCCTTAACTCTGAATCTTCACAGATTATTTCCTGTGGAACATTTTTGTAGTCTCCTGACCCAACCTTGTCCCTACAAGTTCATGTATGTCTTTCCAACTTATCTTCCTTCTAATTCAATTAAATATCACTTGCTCTGGAAAGACTTCCATAATCATCAAAGTTAGTCATCAGCAACTAGTACTTCCTTCTCAAATATTTTGTTTATTATAGTTGTTTTTGGTATCAGGGATTGAACTCAGAAACCCTCAACCACTGAGCCACATTCCCAGCCCTTTTTATTTTTTTGAGATGGGGTCTTGCTAAGTTCAGGATCTCAATAAATTGCTGAGGCTGGCTTTGAACTTGGGATCTTCCTGCCTCACCTCCTGAGCCACTGAGATTACAGGCTTTTGCCACGTGCTCAGCTCCTTGTCAAAACATTTGGAAATAATTTCCTCTCTTTCTCAGACTGTAAGCTGCACAAAGACAGGGGCATTGTCCATATATTGGCCATTGTTTTCCAGGCTCCTTGAATAGTCTTGGGATATGGGGAGTATGCGATGAGACTGTTAAATAAATGGATTCACCTAATAAATAAATGAATAGGATCCACAAAACAATTTCCCTTGTGTTTTATTGCCTCATCTTATATTTGCATACACTAAATTTTGTTTTGAGACTTCCAAGAATGACATTGATAATATCCCTTCATTTTATTTACAGCATCCACAAAAGGTAATGCCCAATTATTCATACTTACCAGCCTAAACCTCACACAGACACTTTGAGGAGATAGTTCTATTTCAGTTACCCTTTGTTGAATGGCATACTACCTCAAAACTGAAAATAAAAATTATTTATCAATTCTATGGGTTTGCAATCTGATAGATTCATGGCCTCACCTGGGTTTACTCATGCAGTCACAGTCATCTGACAGCTTGACTGATTTAATGTTTAAATTTATGTACCAATTTGGCTGGCCCACAGTGGCCAGATATGTGGTCAAACATCCTGGATGTTTGTGCTGGGTGCGGTGGCACATGTGAACCAAAGTTTCCCAGCAGCTATAGAGGCTGAAACAGGAGGATTTTGAGTTCAAAGCCAGCCTCAGCAAAAGCAAGGAACTAAGCAACTTAGTGAGACCAGTGTCTCTAAATTAAAAAATAATAAGGCTGGAGATGTGGCTCAGTGGTCCAGTTCCCCTGAATTCAATCCCCAGTAAGGCAGGGGCGGCATTCTGGGTGTTTGTGATGGGGCATTTGGGGATGAAATTAACATTTAAATCAGAGACCTCTAAATAAAGCAGATTGCCCTCTATGAAGCAAGTGAGCTTCATCCAATCAATCGAAGACCTGAATAGAACAAAATACTGACCCCTGAGCAATAAGGAATGTTGCCATTTGTTTTGGACCTCAACTGCAGCATCAGCTTTTTCTTGGTCTCCAGCCTGCCAGCCTTCCCTGCAGATTTTGGACTTGCCAGCCTCTATAATCTTGTAAGCCAATTCCTTAAAGAGAAATCTCATATCCTACTGGTTTATTTTCCAGAAGAAGCTAATACACAATTAAGGTGGGAGAGTGCAAGATGTTCTCATATGTCTAGCAATTGGTACTAGTTGTTGGCTGGGAAACTTTGGTTTACATGGTTTCTAATTTTTTTTTTTTTTAAAGAGAGAGAATTTTAATATTTATTTTTTAGTTTTCGGCGGACACAACATCTTTGTATGTGGTGCTGAGGATCGAACCCAAGCCGCACGCATGCCAGGCGAGCGCGCCACCGCTTGAGCCATATCCCCAGCTCTGGTTTCTAATTTTAAAATAGTAAATTGGGCTTTTTCACAGCATGGTAGTCTTAGCATTCCAATAGGATAAGACTGGAAGCAAAAGCCTAAGGTCTAGACTCCAAAATGTATCAAACACTCTCTCAAATTCTGTTGGTCAAAGCATGTCAAAAGAAAGGCCCAGAATCAGAAAGGTGGGGAAATAGCTGGGCACATGATGCATGCCTATAATCCCAGTGACTCAGGAAGCTGAGGCAGGAAGATCCCAAATTCCAGTCCAGCCTCAACAATTTAGCAAGACCATGTCTCAAAATTTAAAATAAAAAAGAACCAAGGATTTAACTCAGTGGTAAACCTCCCCTGGGTTCAATCCCAGTATCAGAAAAGGAGCATAGTGAAATAGACTTCATTGTATTTTATTTATTATTTTTCTTTTTTTTTTCCCCTCTGTACTGGAAATCAAATCTAGTACCTTGTGTAGACTAGGCAAGCTCTCTACCCAGTAAGCTACATCTTCAGCCTAGACTGCATTTCTTGATAGAAAGTGACAGAATCACATTGCAAAGGGATGTGGACACAGGAAAGCATGACTCATTGTATACAATTATAATGACTTACAGAAGCCTTAGGTTTTCTACTACTTAAATCTGGAAAACCACACGATTCCAAAAAAAGGGAGAAATGCTGAGGCTAGGGCTATAGCTCAGTGGCAGAGTACTTGCCTAGCATGTCTGAGGCACTGGGTTCGACCCTTAGCACCACATAAAAAAATAAACAAAGGCATTCTGTCCATCTTCAACTAAAAAAAATTTTTTTTAATTAAAAAAAAGGAAGAAATGGCCAATGAGGTGGCACACTTATGTAATTCCAAAGACTGGAAGGCTGAGGAAGGAGAACTGCAAGTTGAGGCCAGCCACTCTTAGCAATTTAACATGATCCTGTCTCAAAAACTTAAAAGGGCTGGGCTCTTGTCTGCCTCTAGAGCTTGTCCACATTCTCCCTTGAATGTATATTCCTTACTTTACCCCAAACGACAGTGTGTGTGTGTGTGTGTGTGTTGTATCTCTCTCTCTCTCTCCCTCTCCCTCTCCCTCTCCCTCTCTCTCTCTCAATTACCACTGTTCTCCCTTGAATATGTATCTGCTTTCCTTAAAAACAAACAAAAACTCTCTTTGGGGAGAAAAAAAAGAGTCTGGGGCTGGAACTTCATGGTAGCAGAAGTAGAGCACCCCTGGGTTCAACCCCCCCAGTACTGAAAAAAAAGGAGGGGGGGAGGCAATGAAATTCTAACTAAAAAAAGTCAATGAGCCAGGTGTGATGGTGCACACTTTGTAATCCCAGTGGTTTGGGAGGTTGAGGCAGGAGGATGGCAAATTCAAAATCAAACCCATCAATTTAAGGAGGCCCTAAGCAACTTAGCAAGAACTTGTCTCAAAATAAAACATAAAACCAGGTGGGGATGTGGCTCAGTGGTAAGTAAGTGCCTCTGGATTTCATCCAAAGAGTTAATGAGGGGCTGGGGAGGTGGCTCAAGCGGTAGTGCGCTCGCCTGGCATGCGTGCGGCTTGGTGTTCGATCCTCAGCACCACATACAAACAAAGATGTTGTGTCCGCCGAAAACTAAAAAATAAATATTAAAATTCTCTCTCTCTCTCTCTCTCTCTCTCTCTCTCTCTCTCTTAAAAAAAAAAAGAGTTAATGAAATAATTTGTTTTGCCAGGAACAGTGGTGCAAGCCTATAATCCCAGTTATTTTGGAGGCTGAGCCAGTAGGATCAGAAGTTCAAAGCCAGCTTCAGCAATTTAGAAAGCCCTAAGCAACTTACAAAGACCTATCTCAAAAAATAAAAGGGGCTGGGGTTAAGCACCCCCAGGTCCAATCCCTGGTACCAAAAATTTTTTTTGTTGTTTTGCCAAACATTAAATTAAAATATAAGATGGGCATAGTTGGCACATGCCTGTAATC